CAGCGGTGTTGGCCCATTGATAAAATTGGTGTGGCACCAACTCCTTTGGAAAGCTACATGCCATGAAAACTGGACAGTGTATTGCCTTTTAATTTCTATTCCACAGAGCTAACAAAAATGCAGTAGACTGTCAACTATAATAGCCCTCATTTGAGTGCAGATCTGCACTAAGGTTGAAAATCTCTATCAATAGGACATTTGCAGCTACTTCCTGAGTGTTATTACTAGTTCACATAATCTGATGTGAATGTGAGTGTGGATGGTTGTTGTTTGTCTACACTGCAGAATGCACCCCGTGAGAGGCTGGCAACCAGTCCACGGTGTATCCTGCCTCTCAAAAGTTGCTGGGATTGGCTCTGGCTCAAGCACAAGTGCAATAGAAAATGCATTGTTTCATATGTAGAAAATGGCCATAAATACTTGTCTCCTCATTATGGAAAGTTCTAAGGTCTTTTGCTGGGCTCAGTGCAAGGTTATGAGGTTCGGTCGATTTGAAGAAAAAAAAATGAGCAGAATTTGTCGTACCCCACAGTCCATTGAAAACCATGCCAGAACGTAAGCTCACTATAGGCATCCAAATAGCATTTTGAAGTTCGTAAATAGACGAGATGTTAATTCCTACTCTGTGTTAAATATAAAACTGTTTACCAGAAAGAAATACAGCACCATCTGGTGGGGAAATGCATATATTGGACTCATGCCCCATCAGAAGCTCGCAGCGTTTGTTCAAATGTGCATACATGCGTGCGTGCGGGTATGTGTGCAGCTGTGCCCTCTCTCTGATGCGTAAAAAACATCCATTAATTGAATTCCCTCTAATTTTCCCCCCGTCAGCTCCACCTTGCAAAGCGAAACGCCCGCCTGCCACGCGTGCCACGCCACACTTCAGGTGTGCTGGATAATGGAGGATGACATTCGTGTCCCATCATGCCTCGGGGGCAACATGTGATACATGGCTTCCTTCTATGAAGGTTAAACTCGGCTCACCTGCCTTTGGCGTTTCATTAGCCACTTGTTAAATACTCTTTTGGTAATAAAATGATTAAAGGTTTTATTGCTTCCCTCAAATGAGGCCTTTTTTCAAATGGGTATAATGACTTTGGATATGCATGTAGTGCATGCAGTGACTGCCAAATGGGTATAATGACTTTGGATATGCATGTAGTGACTGTTGTGTGTGTGAATGTATATGTGTGTGCAGACAAGTGCAAGCCCGGTGTGTGAAAGTATAATGACAGTGACAGACTTTACAATAAAGCTACCATTACTTTCAGCCAAACGGCCTGTGACGTCATTAGGTTTAAAGCAGTCAAAGCTTTCCTCTCACATTTAAATAGACACATTTGTAAAATGTGGCATCATCTGTGTCCTCAAGCAAAGTGAAGTATTTATACTCAAATGAATGGGCCTGACTATTTTTTACACCCGGAGTTAAGCACTGTGGCTATATCAACGGGACATAAAATATTATATTCGAGCCATTAAGTGGAACTACAAGCTTTGCCTTGGCCAATATGGCTCCTCAGTGAGTTGGCAAATCATCATATCTGGTGTCAATTTGTCTGTAAAAAGCAGGGACTCCAACCCATGATGCAAAGGAATTAAGCAGCACCTCCGGAACAACCGTACTAACCACTACGCCACGAGGTGGACCACTTCAACCAGCACAGAATTCGTACTTGTAGTTTTCAAGCGATTCACGGCTAACCGCATGGTGCCGAGTTGCCACAAGTAACCACTATTTTATTTGACTCGCCGCATGAGCGGCTAAAGTCACACGTTTTAAAATACTGCGCCAAAATATGTCGTCATTGGCATACAAGCATCGAAAAGGCATAAGTGCAAAATAAAGTGTGTGATGTATAATTATGCAGACCAACTTCTCTAAACCTTACCTGAATTTAACACAAGAGTCTCCTAATCCTTGTCAATATGCTTGGGGGAAAAAAAAGCTCACGATGCGTTGAGTGTGAGCTTTTTTTTATGATTCCCGCACTGGCCTTGTCCAACACACATGCAGTTACATGGCAACGTGACGGATTTCAAAAGATTAAAAGCACTTACCAAAACAATGATAAGTGAAGAAATCCAAAGTGTCGACTTGAACATGGTGCTGAGACATATGAACAGGGAGTCAATGGCTCATTGCGAGACTAATAAAGGTTTACTTATCTTATCTTCTCAAAAAAAAAGTCCACAAAAACAAAAGTAAGGTCAAAGACAAAAAAACTAATACAAACTTTGTGTTAGCTAAAGCGCAAATCAAGCGGTCCACAAAAACAAAACTTGGGCAAAACCAGCAGCAAGGCTCTTGGCAATCCTTAAATACATGGCTTAATCACGATGATCAAATTGGAAGCAGGTGTGCATGCTGGAGGAGAAGCCCTCCACTGCCACCTGCTGGAGAGACCCAAGAACAGGATCATGACATTGATAGTTGATTTTTGACCCAACAAAAACATGACAGGCATACAACCCAATAAATGGTTAATTTTAACCAACAATTTGGTTACTTCCATAAGAAATAACTCAAAATATTGACCCAACACAAAAAAATCCAAAAATTTAGTTAATGGAATAACCCAACTGTTTAGTGTAGTTTGCTAAAACATCCACAAATAGGTGATTCACTAATGCGGGGTTTGCTATATATTCTTCTTTGCTTCTCATCTAATTCTCTCAATACATATTTCTGAAGTTGAAAAATAGCGTGAAAAGTTCAAAATAAAGCACAATGCTCACTGAACTGAAGTCTCATGTGATATTTTGATTTCAGCAGTGTCAATTTGGCAATTTTATGTGATTTTAGAAGTAGATTTTTCCTCAAATTCCAAATTGTCTCTGACTCTTGAACAATGTACAGTAAATTAAAAAAATTAAGTCACATGGCACTATTTCTGTTGTGTTCAAATAAATGGATAGATTCTGACTAAACCATTGTAAGTTTTTAATCCTTTCATGCACAAATAATAATAACCTGTAACCTGATGACCCGGTAAACTGTCCACTGTTGTGACTGCTGTGCCTGAAAGGGTTAATATGGAAGGTGGTGACCAATCCTTAGAGCTTTTGTTCATGAAATGAGTGGGTCAACCTCCCTCTGGCCAAAGGAGTCCAGTTCATTTGATATATGATGGCAGTCCACTTGTCTCGACTCCAGTGGACCCTGTCCAACACCTGTTCTCCCATCAGGGGATGCTGTGTTGACGTGGCTCGGCTACGCCACCACACAGATTGGTACTGCACAGTTGGAGCAGTGGAGAGGATGAAATATGAGGGTCCCTGCTATGAAATGTAAACGCTAATCGGGAAGGAGGTTCTCCATGGGAATAAATGGTCCTTTTGTGAAAACATTGCATCATTAGATCTGCATGAATTAATGATTTCATAATAATTGCACATGAACAAAATATGTGCATATGTGTAAGGTGTGTGCTCTTAATATATTTCATTTTTGATAATACTCTCATAACCCTACAACAAAGGGTTTGAAGAAAACAACAAAATAACCAAATAAAGTGCAAATATTATTTTGTTCCAGTTCTAAGGGCTCTCTTGTACCACAATTATCATTCAAGGATGGCACAAACCTGCTGAACAAGAAACCATTAAGTGCAAGAACTAATTTCAAACAATTTTTTCACAAAAATCTACTCATTCAAAATTTTTGAGTTATTGTTTGTCCTGAATATCATTCCAATTTCGCACAAAAATATTTGGTCTACTCACATTCTAGTATCGGGCAGTGTAAGACCCATGAGTGTAACTAACCAATGCAAAATTTAAAAAAAAATTGAGGCTGATATTCATCTATTTCATGCATCCGTGCCATGAGGTAGTAAAGCATTCCCATACCAAGATGCCCCCATCACTTCATACTTGGGATGAGGTTTTAATGGGGTATAGGTGTGCCTTATTTTCTCCATACAAGTTATGTTTTCTTTTCCAAAACAAACGACAGTTTGCCAGTAGTGCTGTAAAACATCCAGGCTCCCTTTTGCAAACTTTGAATATGCAGCAATCGTTTTTGAACAGCGGTGGCTTCCTCCGTGCTGTCCTCCATCTTCATCCATTCTTGTGTCATGTTTTACTTATCATACATTTGTTAACGAGATTTTGGCATGTGCAAGAGATTTCTGAAAAACTTTAGCTGAAACGCTAAAATTCTGCTTCGCCTTAATGAGCATTCTGCCATGGGTTGTTGGTGACATGTTTAACAGGGCTGCCACTTGTCGGCAAACTGCTTTATGTTTTTTTATGGGGCAAGGCAGCTTTAACCAACACCCCTTGTCACATTGATTGAATGCCGTGTTGGATTGCTCCAGATTTAGATTACCTCTTGAAGAATTTATTACCTTGGAATTCACATTCTTTTCCACTCTGCACCGTGACTAGTTTACAAGGTGTGTCCAGTAAAACATGTACACATTTAATTTGTTTTTGAGATATTGTTTTTATCCTTTGTTGTGCCTTCAGATCAAGATCAAATATTAGGGCATTCCATTGAGGTGCATACTTTTTCTTGCAACTGCACAGACAACATGCATGCATATATACAGTATGTTGTCCAGTGGAAATTTAAATGCTGTCTTCAGTTTGTCCAGTAGAGGGCAAGATAAAGCCATAAATTCATAATTGGATAGCAGGTGATTGGGATGTAATTAATCCTTTTATAAATTAAATGTTATTTTAAATGTTTGAGAGCATGCAAATACAAATCACTAATACTAATACTAATACAAATACTAATAATGTAGTCCATCTCCCTACAAGATTAATTTAACTGATAAATGTAAGCGTTGTTTCTGTATGACTGTTTTTTTTTTTTCGTTTGTTTGTTTGTTGGTTTCTAAAGAAAGGAAAAGAAGTCCAAGTAGATGAAAGATGTAACTTGACATGTACGATTTTGGACGGTACCAATACGGCCGGCAAACGAGGGGGAGGTCTTGTCGTCTCACAGGGATCAAACCAAAAGTGATGACACAGGCGACCCTCAGTTTGTCCCGAGCCAGTGAGATGGAGACAGCTGGGTGAATTTATCGACGTTTCCTCACTAATTGTTACGAACTTTGTCCCTCCCGGTAGCAAAGGTGAGTACTGTTGAATTGATATTTTCGGTTTGTGTTCCCGAAACACACATTTTGCCAACATCTTCACTCAGAGTAGAATGATGCTGCGTCTCACTCAGGCAGAAAACAATCAATAATTTGTACGCGTTAAAGGGCATTTAATCTCAAATTCAACAACAATATAGCCTACAATAGTCATGATACATGTGGAAAGTGGAAGCATGGTTTTGGTTACTTGATCCATGCACAGTAGATTTGCCTTTTCCCCCCAAATCAACACTTCCTGATAACTTTTTTTTTTTTTGTTAATACACATTTTGTGTGGCGTTAACTCATACAATGCATTTCACAACCAATACATTCGTCTGTTCATGAGTTTTAATGATTACAACATACAGATAATTAGGAAACGTGAGTGTTATAACATCAGTGTAGGAACTGTTGTGGGCAATGCGTGGCCCACTGGACACATGGACTGTTCACTTCATGTATTTATTATTCTTCTTATTTATTTGATTTTTTTTTTTTAATCAAGAGTCTTTTTTTAGTTTTTGCAAATATTATTTGCAATTCTTCTCATATGTCTTCCAGTTTTGGTGACAATTATTTGGGAAAAAAAACCCAAAAGATCAAACATACAATGGGTCACATTGACGCATGATTATATAGGTGTACAGTACCAAGGAAACAAACAAAAAGGGGGTTAATTAGAATGTAATAATGAATTTTAAAAAATCCATAAAATATTATTTGTACAATCGACAAATTTACATATTGCATTGACTACACATATAGCCTTTTTTAAACTCTTCTTCAAATTGGTTGGCCCATCTGTCAGTTTTTAAAAACAAAGTGGCTCTTAAGGCCAAACATTTTCCAACTCCTGTTGTAGCTTGTTAATATAATCCTCGAACAAACATTTATTGTTTATTTAACATTTTGTATTTGTGCTAACTATGAAACCACCAGGGGTTTGTTTGGAAAACATTTGAAAAAGCTGTGTGAGCGTGCTCGTGCATGCACTAGTGCATGTATGCACACAGCATTCATGTGCTGACATGTAAATAAACAGTTTTTGTTGTGAGTCATGATGACAGGGAAGGTACTGCATGTTGTGCATGCTCAAAATCCAGATTGTCTTGACGCTAGACAACACACGCTCCCCGAGAGGTACTGGAGAAAGAAAGCAAGGAATAATCATCTCAAGGACGTGTAGCAAAAGTAACTGGCCGAGCAGAATCAGAATCATTTTTATTGGCCAAATATGTTAAAACCCCTCTGCTGCCATTGCCACACCTTAACGCTCTGCAGAGCAAAGAAATGTCCAAACAACAAGGTGACACAGTCTTCTGCTCGTGAAAATAGGCCAGTTGTGGATGAGAGTAGCAGTTAGCCTCGCTAGCTTCAGCTCTTCTTATCGCCACTTTTTAACTAGTCATACTAATGAGACCGCCGGAGAGGCAGTGAGAAAGGAGGGCGCGATGTGACACTACATCTTTGTCGCCAAAATGTTGTGACCAATAACTTGCGGGCAACAACTGTGAGAACTTTATTCATATCGCAAACAGGCACCAACCAACATCATGTGATTGGTAGCACGGTCACTTGCAAACTAAGTCTGTCCTCAAATACAGAAAAGCACAAGTGAAATAGAAACAATAAAACAGAGACATACTGAATTTTTGGGAGACTGGCTATGCAATGGAACACAAGATGAGGCTGACACATTGATGAGAAACACATGTGCCAGCATAATGGTGAGTTGTGTTTTTAATCATTTGCTTTTATTTATTTCAATGCCGTTATATCAAAATCTGCCTTGATGTGAAATCATCAAGTGGCACAAAAAAGTTTGACGACCTCAATACAGCGCTGAAAATCAATTTTTTACCACATTAGAGTTCACTCCAAACAATCTCTTGTCATTCTGAAAGGGCATCTGGTGTAAAATAAATAAATAAATAAATGGATAAATACATTGTGTCAAACAAAATTCGCTACGGCAACCCCGATGGCACAAGCTGAAAGGTGCAACAATAACAACAAAAACACAAATGTACAGATAGTCGTTATAGCAAAATAAAGTGTGCAATTGTGCTCTCATACTGAATTAACTCAATTTTGCACTGATGCAGAGTGTCAACGCTCTGATGAATACAGTAACAATGACACAGACGTGCAATTTGGCACCATGAAATTGCACGACAACTATTTAAGAAGTTAATGGCCAAGGGAAAGAATCGTGTGCAATGTCTGCACGTTTTTCTTGTGCATTGTTCAAAAGCATCGATTCATCTCATTGCCGATGACGTCATAATGTGTTCACACGTGGATGTTTCATTGTGTGGCCTGCTGTGTGTGTGTGTGTTCGGTGGAGGGGTGTTGACCTGTCAGTGGGCCAGTTGGCCATCCTCTGCCATCGATCCAACGTCGGTTGAGCAAACTGTGAATGAGGGCATTTCGTCAGGGTCATAGGTCAGCGCTGGGCATAGAATGGAGGGTCAGTTTGTGTGTGACATTGCTTTGCATGTGTTTGGGCCGTCTATCCGCATGCAAAGTGGCTGCTGCTGCTGTTCTTGCGACACTGACGCGATGACACTGTTCGTACATACTGTAGCGCGTACACACAGTGTGTTTTTCATGCATACACAACGGTGTGTGCATGTGCCTGGATTTGTATGTGTAACATGATCTGCTCTCCAAGGTGCCGAGGTGGAGGATGGACACTGCAGTCCAGCTTGTCGGACTGAAAAGAGGGAAAGAATAGCAGGGATGTGTGTGTGTGTGTGTGTTGTTTGTGCGCAGAGCGCAGACTCCTGCGCGCCCGTGTGTGTGTGTGTGTGTGTGTGTGTGTGTGTGTGTGTGTGTGTGTGTGTGTGTGTGTGTGTGTGCGCGCGCGGCTGGTATGCAGCCCTGGCTAATAGAGAAACAGCCTGGGGTTCTTATCTGACCTCTGCTGAGTTGACCTTTCACCTCTATCCAAGACAAGCCCTTTGTGTTCACAGAGCTGAAGCCCATGAGCGCCCATGTGTGTGTGCGTGTGTGTGTGTGTGTGTGTGTGTGTGTGTGTGTGTGTGTGTGTGTGTGTGTGCATGTCTGTGTGTGTGTATGTGTGGGTGTGCGTGTGTTTGTTGCATCAAAGTCCTGCCTAAACATTGTTATCTTGACTGACCTCAGTGGTAATGAGACCTCACTGAAGCTTTTACATTCTCAAAAGTTCTCTCCAGATATATTTGGATTTGTTAGCTGGAATAGTTTTTGTATAGTGTGTAATACGCATGATGAAAACGTCAATATTGTGAATGATGTCGGAAAGAAAGAGTGAGTAAGTTGTTCCGAGACAAACCCAAAAAAAAAAAAAAAAAAGTGTTGAAATGCTAAGCAGCCCGTTTCGATGACATCCTGACAAACAGGGGGCTCCCGAGTTTAAAGGGGGTCCTAACTCCAGGTTTTGTATTTGGGTGCTTGAGTGTGGTGGTGGGAAGGCAGGGACCAAGGGGTCATAAAACACCACAATAGTGTCTCTCTCTCTCTCCCCAGGTTGAAAGAGAGACAGAAAGAGAAGAAGAGATGAGGGGGCGGGGGAGATTTAGGGATGAAAGGATCTCCCACTTCCACGTCAGGGAGGGGGGGATGCAAAGAGGAAAACTCAACTAACGTTACGTGAAAGATTTAACCGCGACTAAAATGTGTTTCTTTTTTTTTTTTTAACTTAAACTTCTAATTGACATTTTACTTGCCTTGGTGAAAGCTCTCAATGTAAAGTTGCCTTTTATGTGGAAATAATTGATTCAGGAATCCACGAAAATGCAGCATGGTTGAAATAGTTCAGTTACCACAGAGCATATAGAAAAAAATCAAATTAACAGATCATTAGCCTAATAGTATAATTGCCTGGTCTAATAGGCTAATGCTGAATAAATGTTTCAAATTTTAAAGCAACTTTCTGGACACCTTGTGATATTTAACACTTTCAGGGACACCGGTTACTACAGTGGACATCTTATCATGTTATCAGATTACATGGTGCATGAAAGTCTGAAATATTTTAAGTGACATTTTGTCATTTGGATTGTTATGTTGATTGATTGTTGGTCCCGGTTTTTTGTCAGGGGGAAATTTCCCTGCTTTCATCCTGTGTCTCCCCATGGTTGTAAACGTCAGTCTGCTGTTTGCCGGAAGGTGTGATTACTTCCTCTCCTTCCGTGTTATGACCGGCCTTTTCTGTCTTCCTCCCCTCTTGTCTCTATCTACAAAGCAGCGCGAGGCAATGACAGTCTGCATTGTTTCTTTACATATGGAAGTGTGGAAGCAGAAGGTGGCTGTCGAAACGTGCGCTCCTCCAAAATAAAATGCCAATTCCAGAATATAAAACTGGCAGCACATTCATTAAGTTTTTACATCCTTTTGAGTAGCAAACTCTGAACCACACCCAATTCACTTTTACCGCCACTGGAATTATATACATTGCTTGATTTTACAGTCATCCATCCACTGATAACAGTTTTCAGTTTAAAACAGTACATTGGTAGCTCTTTATTTTAATGCCCAACGTAAACTCATTCACTTAAGTGCTAGTGATGTCACCACAGATGCTATCGTACTAATATAAAACTCATCATAATCTTCAGACCTCCCAAAAACTCAGATCAGTGAGCATTGAAGACACCCGTGGGTAACTTCTTTTTACACTTGTGTGACAGACGCGCAATGTGCATCTGCGACACAACGGTGCATCATGCAGACTTTTTGTACAGCCCTTGGATCTGATTAGATTTTGCGGTTGTTCCTGATAGTGTGTTCAGTCAGTGAATGTTTTGTTCCTGCTGTGAAACAATGTAGCATTGTTCTCGTCGCTCCGGAGATGTACTGTTTGTCTTCTTACAAAGTCCATTAGTGTTGTTCTTTCCCTCATATTGTGTTAAATGGCTTCAGCTGAAAGGTTCTTGCTCAGAGTTATCAAGAATCTGGGAAGCTGCAGTCCTGATAATCTCATCGGCTCTATGTAACAAACAAATGTTTAAAAAAAGGCCTTAAATTGTTTGTTTATAAATGTAGCTGAACAACACGTTGCTTGGGTCAGGCAGTCACGTTTGTCTTTGTGGGTGTGTGCGGGCATATGTATGTGTGGGTGTGCCTTCTTGGGTTGTGAATGTGAAATGGGGGTCGCCAGCATATGGGCAGAAAGGGGATTAAGTTGGCGTTAGCATCCACCCGTGCTAATTGCCTCCAGGTTGACCCAGTTTGGTCATCGATAGGTCGACTGAACCTGCTACAGTCCTCCCAGTCACATTACATGAAAGTAGCAATTCTATGTAATATTACAGAAATGTATGTTCATTATGCACAATGAGTATCGTAGGAGAAACAAACATTGTAACAATCATTTTTTGTTGTTCGGCATTAACAAAGGTGTGTAAGGTTTTTAACCGTGACGTAAAACTGAATTAAGTTATTCACACTCGACGTGTTTTTGAGTGTCAGTTTAACAGACCATGTTTTGAGCGAATGTTTTCTTCATGGAGGCTGTGGTCAACCAGAGAGCTGCGGGGAGAGAGAGAACGGAGAAAAACAAAGAGGGAGTAGCGTCTAGGTCACGGTGTCCTTACTCTGTCAGTGCAGCTGATTTTATGGCATGCCGTCTGGACGCATGCCTCCATTAGTAAGTGCTGTGTTAATGTGTATGTGAGGATGTGCCTCTGGAAGTTTGTAAGTGCTCTGTCTGTGCCTTTTAGCAACGTTTGCAACAGTCTATTTGTCTGTTTATTAGTTTGTTTGTTTTTTTAAGGAAGAATGTCTTTTTACCTTACCTTCTCCATTATTATTCAGATTAGTTGAAATCATGCTGAGGCGAATGATCTTGCTTGTGGTGCAGTCTTTCTTTATTTCTGCATCGCCTGTCAGTTGTAATGTTACTGTAAGCTATTTCTCATGATGGTAATGAATATGTTTATGTACAGTTAAAAATCTTTGTATACGTACTTTCTTCCCACAAATGATTGATTATAATTAAAATAATACAGTCCCAGTTTTCGACTTGTCCCATGAGGGGTCACCACATGATTTGTTTAGCACAGTTTGTATGCCGGAAGCCCTTCCTTAACGCAACCTGCACATTTTCATCACCCTAATCTCGACTAATAATGTTTGGGAAACTGTGCTTAGGGCATGTAATGGTTGATCATTCACCATCTCTTCAACTGGGGGTAAAGCATTAAATCAAATGAGAGGGATTTCGTTTGCGTGATGAATGACTTTTAGCACAGTTTGTATGCCGGAAGCCCTTCCTTAACACAACCTGCACATTTTCATCACCCTAATCTCGACGATTGAGATGTGCACCAGACTTTTATCCATAAAGGCCTCAACTGAACTGACATTAATCGGTTCAAAAAAAAAAGGCAAACACACAATGCAGAAAAGGAATTTTCCAAATCTCCTAACAATAGGTTATTGTGTCTCAGAACACCAATGGGGAACTCCTATGCGGGCCAGCTGCGGACCACGCGCTTTGAGGAGGTACTTCACAACTCGATTGAAGCGTCACTGAGGTCCAACATTGTCGTGCCGCGGCCAGTTTTCTCCCAACTCTACCTGGAGGCAGAGCAGCCACTGGCACACAATGGTGAGTTTGGCTGACACCCACATGTGACGTTTACAACCTCTCTGAGATTGCGTGAATGCAAGGTCATCCTTCACCAAAAATGCTCAAATTACCGTACTTGAAGATAAGCCTTTTTTTGTATCATAGCTTGCTTAAATAGTATGTGAAGACATCCCATGTGCAGAGGTGGGTAGAAAAGCCCAAAATTGTATTCAAGTAAGAGTACTAATAGTCCTCCAAATAGTGACTTGAGTAAGAGTTAAAAAGTACAAAGTGAAAAAAATGCTCAAGTATTTAGTAACTGGTGAGCAATTTCCTTTTTTTTTTTATATTCAGAGCATGAAGATCAAATAAAGTAAAAGTAACTAAGTACCATATGAATCTGCAAATTGAGATATTGCTGATCAATAATAATAAATACAATTGTCATGATATAACAAACAAATTCAATATTCATAAATTAAGGCTGCCAAAACGTTGTGTGCAGTCATGTGACTGCCTGATGCAATTTAATTGATGAAATGGACTCAAACGTCACATGTGCATAACATCCAAGGAGGAAGTCTCTCTGATAAGCCGAAACCAAAATAACAAACAATAATTGATTGATAAATAAAAGTAGCGAGTGGAATCCAGCTAGATGTAGCGGCTTAAAAGTACAGTTTCTTCTTTCCATTAATACTCAAATAAAAATAAAATGTATGTTGCATCAAAAGTACTCTATAATTGCAAGTCCATAAATGCTCTTCAATCATTTTGAAAATGTTTCATCTATCTTCCTTACATGTGCCTCAACAGGTCGCACGGAGAACGATGATGAGGACGATGAAGATGGCTCAGAATCAAACAGTCCTCCAATACCCTATCAGATGAAACCCCCGCCTGAGGGTTGCTGCACCACAGACGGTCTGTGCGCATTTTGTTCAGGGACAGGGTTACTCTTGACGACCTGCAAGGCAAACAAGTTCTATGTTTTAAAAAAAAAAAAAAAAAAAATTAAAGAAGTCTTCTTCCCTACAGGGTACTGTCAGGCAGGCAGGGATCTGCGTCTTTCATCATTGGCATCAGACTCCTTAGATGTGTTGCCGGGATTCATGCTGATCGGGCTGAAGTCACCCGCCCTTCCCGAGAACCTTCTGGTGGGTGCTGTCGACCATCGCTTCCTGCCAGATGAACGGGGTCATAATGCTCTGCTGGGTAAGACAGAAGAGAAACCTTGCTGTACGTGAAGAGCTCTCCATTATAAATGCGGATGGGAAGCCCTCATCATCCACTGATTCTCACCCACGTGCTTCCTCCGCAGGTTTCTCAGGGTATTGCATGGGCTGTGGAGAAAAGGGCTTCCGCTACTTCACAGACTTCGCCAACCACATTAATCTGAAACTCAGCACCCAGCCTAAGAAGCAGAAGCACTTAAAGTTCCACCTGTACCGAAACAACCAAGGTGTGCTGGTTAAAGGAGCTCCCATCTGCTGGAGGGGACACGGTAAGATTGGTTCGTATCAGAGTTCTAATTTTTCGGAGTTTTCATTGTAGTTTGTTTTTATTTTGTTTTGATTTTTTTGACTGTTCAAAATCAGATACCGGTAGTTTTAATTAGTATTTAGATCAAGTTTGTTAGTTTGTAACGATAAAGCATGTTCATTTTAATCATTAATTTACATGTTGACAAAGTTCAAGAATGTCATAGGGAAGAATTGACAGCTATCTTCAGATGTTGTTTAGCAGAAACTGCAAAAACGTTTACAGTCCAGGTGACTAGCAGTAACAGGGAAAGGATATGTCAATGGTTCTTTTCTTGTATATTCTCAAATCAAGTCCATTACATGTATTCATGAAATGTTAATATTTTAATATTGTCATGAACTGATTCCCCTTACATAGACTAAAATAGTTTTGAAATATGGCTGTTGTGTTTCAGATGGCAGAATAAGACAGCTGAGCTCCAGTCTCCCAGAGGCCCATGCGACATCAGATGAACAGTCAACAAGCGGGGCGTTGATGCATTCCTCACACACGCCTAGCAGCTATGCAGGTATAACCACAAAATGGTCATTTTCACTTGTGGTAAATTCCTCCCAGTCACACACATCTTGTTGTTTGGCATCTTAAAGTAGCAGTATAAGAAGTTACTCAGTCATCACAATTCCATCTTTTGACTTCTTTTTGTGCATATCCAGCAGCATCTCACGCAAACGGCGCTCCTCAAATCTCCGATACCCCACACTCACTGACAAATGGCATCCATGCCGCTTCTTCAGTCGCGCAGACGGTAATAAATCATTCAGGACCGGGGAGACCATCAGCTACAGGTACTGTATATGCACAATAATAAATATTGTTACAAATAACATGAGGGCGGTTTAAAATGCCTCTCATGACGCACTTGGCATTTTGTTACATGCCTCCGTCCATATTTGTGGCCAGCCAAATCATATTCAATTCTAAAGTTGGTCCTGTATCATGCATGTAAGCGTAGCCATTGTGTCTGCTGTCATTAACCCCCTGGGCTTGTTCACACCTCTGAAAGGGAACGCAGCCCCCTGTGTTATAACGCCACTGCTGTAGGGAGGCTGCCAGCTGCATTGTTTTGGGGATCCTCTTTTGTCTGCCTGATTTCATTTGCCAACACTTGAGGCACTAAATATTTCCCTCTCGCTTTCTTCTCTCTCCGTCGCTCAGTGGCCTCCATAAACCGGGGTTGTAAAATACTATCTTCTTTTTTCCTCCCTTCTCACTGAATGAAAAAGCTTCCTTCCTGTCAATGTTGTGTTTATTTCATGACTTCTCTAACAAGTGCGACTTTTTGATCCCGGTTGCCATCACTGAATTTCAACAGGGGGTTAAGAGGTTAATACAAACAGGTTAATACATAAAATGTAACTGCATCCACATTGGCTCATCCTAAAACAATATAAATGCATTTTTTGATTGTTTTTTTTTTTTTCTTTTACAGCTCAGTAATGTTTCGGTTAAATCAAAGCAAATCCATTGTTTCTGTCCTCCAGGGTTGCAGACAAATGCCGGACCCCCCAAAAAGAGGCATAAGGGTTGGTCCCCAGAATCTTCTTCTTCAAGTGGTTTGTTAGAAAACACAGGGAAGGTGGCACCATCTTCATCAGTTTTGCCATCATCGACAGTTAGCGCAAATGGAGCCAGATTAGGTAAAAAAGGAAAAAGTGGTCATTTAATTTATATGATGTCTTTATATGTGAATTTATGTATCCATATACACCTTTACATATATTTGTTGTGCTGTCTCATACATCCAGATGCATCTGCCACTACGAGTTCCTCACAGAGGTCCTTAACCACACATTCTCCCTCTGGGTTGTCTGTAGCTGTGCCTGATCAGCTTTTACACACTTGTGGCCTACAGCCTGTCATCTTTAAAGGTCACTTTCACATTATTGACTGAGGACAGTGGTCTGGGATGTGTCAATCAATTCACATTTTCTTCATCATAAAGCAACAATTTTTAAATCGTGAAAAGTTTTATCTGTATACCTCTCCTGGACACAGGTCATGGCCCACTTCCTCAGCTGACTGGCAATTTTAGTGAAGTGCTCGTCAGCTCTCTTCTGCAGAGTTGTTACTTGAGCTCTCAGACCCTCCCAAGAGTCTACCAACACTACGGACCGTCACCCATTCAACCGCTGTCTACTGAGATGCAGATCCTCCTCACCGTCTACTACCTTGTTCAGCTTGGTCAGTGTTGCACTCTGGAAAGACTTAGAGCACAGTAGAATGTAATTTTTCACTTTGTTGTTGTTACTTTTAATGGCCACTAGAGGGCAGACTGGCACTGTGTCATAAAAGAAGTTAGAAGGTAGATTCATCTAAAACTGCAAATTTGAGACTATTAGAAGCTCCTATTATAGTTTTTTTCCTCTGCAAGAACATTTTATGTTTAAAATAATGTTTTCCATAAAAATGTTTTCATTGTTTGAATCCACCTGATTCCTGCATCCTTCTGATTTCAAATTTTCTCCCTCACATTGGCAAGGCCCCGAGCAAGTGCCTCTGATTGAGGACTTGGAGCAGATATTCATGAGGTCATGGAGGGAGTCCCACCTCAGTGAAATCAGACAGAATCAACAACCTCAAATACCAGCCACTCAAGGGAGGCACTACGGAATTGAGGTTAATTTCTCATACACATACATATACTATATCACTGTATTTGGTTCACTAGAAGGTATCTTGCAGTAGATGTTATTATGGTATCAATTACTTACGGAAGCAAATTATTATATGAAAATACATTTGTACAAATAAAGGCTTTGACTGAGTGATATTAGCATAAATCTGCTTTCCTTGGGTCTCCAGGCACCTCCTGCCCTTCCAGGGCTCCCTCAGCATCTTGGCTTAGCACCACAGCAGCCGCTGACTCCCAGCCAGCTTCCTTGGCTCGCCCAGCTAGCTGCGTCATCCTGTGGAGAGGGGGTGGTGGTGTTGGGGGAGCAAGTGGGCTCTTTGGCTCAGGGCCTTCAGCAGATGTTTAGAAAGTTGATGGAGGGACGGTTCGAAAACACAAATTACATCGTCGTCATTGTGACCGCTTCGGGGCATGAAACACAGTCGTGTGTGGTAGTCACAGGTGGGAGTTTGTTTTTAACAAAAATTGTAAAAACAAAAAATAGACATCAAGCATATGCGTGTACTTTTGGTACAGGTAAACACCAGTGTCGAGCCTTGGCTGAAAATATGTTCTCTCCCAATGAGGGTTTAAGAGAAATCAACCACCAGCTTTCCTCTGGTGACGCCCAGGAGCTCATCCAGTTCTGCAGTTCCCTTGGACAAGGTGTGCTTGTCTCTCTTACTTGGAATGCATGAGTCTCTGCTATGTGTTTATTTGGTGCATGTTCTGTTCTGTTACAATTTGTACGATGACGCGACGTTTCGGCTACGTGCACGCTGATGTGAGCAGACGATGCATATTGAATCCCAGAATCGAACTTCCTGTTTCGCAGAGGGTGATATGGATTCCCTACTGGACAGTGCAACCTTGGACAGCAACGAACCCTCTCCCTTATCCAGCAGTCAGGAATCAACAGAGGAAAAGACTGTGAAAAACACACACAGTCCAAAAGATTCACACAGCCCTAAAGATAGAGTTCTGCCCCCTAAGGAAACTTGTTCAGGTGAGACAGATGACACAAATACGACAAAGCGTATTACTGTGCTGTTTTTTTTTTTTTTTTAACTTAACATCCCATATGAATCTGTGTATGTGCATGCATGAAGAGTACGCTGTGGAGTGGCGTGATATCCGGCCCATCCAGCTGGCGGTAGCCAGAAAGCTGCTGTCTCACGTTTGCGCCATAGCAGACTCCAGCACCCAGAACTTGGACCTTGTCTCCTTTGACCGGGTCAACTTCCTCATCCTGGTCCCTCCCTCCGAGGTCACGTTTCAACAGACCGTACTCCACCTATGGAGCTCTGGTTAGTTCCGTGTCAACGCACATTTCACCTCAGGCCTCTTTTGACTGTTTACCCATCCGCGTTGACTTGAAACTTGGATTTCAGGTGTTCTTCGAGAACTTGGAAGTGTCGAACAAGATTGTGTGTCTCAGCGGGAAGCGGAGCGCTACGTGGTCAAGATGGATCAAAGCGCTCAAGTGCGAGTTGACAGCTTGATACAGGAAGCACACAGCAACTCCTATACGCTTTACATCCTGGTCCATGACCACGCCCACTGGGATGTCAGCAGGTCTTTGTGATACAGAAGCAGAGTTGAATTCCGTGAGAGACTTACTTTTTGACATTAACGATGCGGACCGTTTCCTTTTCTCTGTGCTTCTCAGTGCCTCTTACTGCAACACAGACACTGGTTTGGGTCTCGTGGACCAGCTACTGAATTCCAGGCAGGTCAGAGATGCTCCAAACATCCTGATTCTCCACGTTACATCCTTCCCGTTCGCTCTGCAGACACAATTCACACGCATCAGCCCTTATAATGAGATCCACTGGCCCTCTTCCTTCAGCAATGTGAGACTTCCTTCGACGTGTGCTCATAAACCATACAGTACATATAACAGAGGCACATTGTAACAGTTTGGTGTGCGTGTGTAGGATGTGGACCTGTATCATGAGAGAACACGCTACTTTGGTGTGTCAGAGCTTTTAGAGTCGACACGCTCAGGAAGCAGCCTGCCTCTGATGCGATGTGATTCGTCTTTTGAGAGCATGGCATCTTCCCTGGAGGAAAGGTATGCACACTGTCAGTAAAAAATAAATTATAGTTGAAGGTGCTCAACTTATAAAAAGAAATGAACCGTTTCTCTCAGGTTTCCTAAGCTGCACAGCGCTGTGATCCGTACGACAGTTCTGATCCACCACTATTGCACAGCGCTGATGGCTGTTTCCGGAAGAATCGGCGGCTCTCACAATCTTCACAAACACACATCTGTGGAGACGCTGGGCATCGTCCAGGCGCTGCTCAGTGCCGCCCAGCAATGCCCCGCCCACCACGGTCACATGATCCTGCTGCGGATCCCCTCACTGGCTCTGGCGGCGTGGGCGCATCGGCGGCTGTCCCGAGTGAGGAGACAACTGGGTCTTGAGGAGAGTTTTGAGATCATATTGGGGAATCCGAGCCAACCGCTGAATGTTGGACATAGCTTTATTGATCAGATTAAGGTATGCAAAAGTATATAGGTTAAGTACGCAATGTGGATAAGACTCCCTTGCAAGGATGAGCCTGATAAGAGGCTCTTAGTTAGGCCCTCTTAAAATGATTGAAAATCTTACGACTGTGAAGGTTGCTGTGTCCCATACATATGTCAAAATGCTGTGTCATCTTTTCCATGTTTTCTTTATTTTTGTAGTTTTTGTGTAAAACTTCTCCATGTTTGTATTTGCCATACGTAGCTATGGCTGAAAATCCAAGAATCTGATTGGGTTCCTCGTACCTACCTGGAGCTTGAAGCTCTTCCCTGCATTCTCATCCTGTCGGGAGCTGAACCTCAAGGAGAATCACTTCCCAGGTCGGCCCACTAAGACCAAAACATGAGACCCAATTGTTCTTCTCCAGGAATTCTAAAACAATGAATAATGAGTTAATTTATTGTCTGACTACATTCTTCCCGCAGGTCACTGAAGTACTGTGACCTTCGAGTGGTAAGCTGCTCCTATCTTCAACGTACTACACTCGAGCAAGAGTTGGGACTTGCAGCATACCTGCTGAAGGCGGAGTCTCGCTCCCCGCACAACACGGGGCCGGGAAGTGACCTGCTGGAGAGTGACGCGGAAAAACTCAGCAGCACCGACAATGAGGAAGAGGAGGGCCAGGAAAACGGTAGTCAGTGAATGTTATTATTCACATAACAATGTGTTGAACAATGAACATTTTGTCTTAGTGTGAGGATTTGTCTAATGAGGAGGAGTGAATGTATTCCTCTTTCCTTTTCTTCTAGAAAGCTCTCCTGTGTCCTCCAACCAGCCACTCCAGTCCAGCCCAGATGTTGGAGCATTAGACCCGTCCCCAACGCAGAGCAGCACGTCGACATCTCCAGATGCTCCAAAGTGCACAGTGGACACCACCCCGTCCCCGTCACGGGCTCAGACTCAATTTCCTTCCCAGTCCTCTTCTCAGTCATTTATATACCATCAACCTTCACTTCACCACCCAAGCCAGTCTATTGCCCACACGTATTCCCTGTCCCAACCCATTTTCCAGCAACAAATTCTGAGTCAGAACCAGTTATTAGCCCAAACGAACTCCCAACCTTACTTCCAAACACTCCCACCGCACCAAGTCTCCCACCCGCCAACGCAATCGCTGGCCCCGGTCCGGCCTCGTCGTCACCCTTCCAAATCCACGTCTTCGAGCTCGTCGTCGCCCCGAGCCTCGTCCCCTCATCTGAGCTGTTCTTGGGCACGGGGAGTGAGTCGCCCACCCTCAGTGCTCCTCCCCCGCTCGCTTTACGACATCATCACAGCCAACGATGGCAGCGGCCTTCCGCGATGTACCTCCTTCCTGCCGCATATGTCTGTAGCGTGGGCCAGCAGCTTCAGGTGAGACTACGGTACTACCTTCAGAAATAGCAGTCCTAGCGGACGTTATGGTATATTTTTGATGAGTCTCCCATCAACAAGCCTTCATGACTGAAAATTGAGAAAATACTGTTTTTGTGCCTAGACCTTTGCTGAGTAAGATGATGACCTGCACTGAACAGTCACTGTACTATCGCCAGTGGACGGTCCCCCGCCCTTACCACATGGACAGCAGCAATCGCACCGAAGGACGCAGCGACAACTTTCACCCTCGCAGGCTACTCCTCAGCGGACCCCCACAGGTAATTTTGGTCTTTTTTTTCCTCATTAATTGTCAAAGTCATGTTGCGTATTTACCTTCTGTGGATGTCATTCATTAGGTGGGTAAGACAGGCGCATACCTGCACTTCCTGGGTATCCTCTCTCGGATGCTGATCAGGCTGATGGAGGTGGATATCTACAATGAAGAGGACATCAACTTGAGTGGGTATATTCACGGGTCAGAATGAAGAAATAATGACACGGTTGTGTTCAAGTGGTGTCTGTCCATGTGGTTTGTGATTTTTAGATGTCCAATTCGACGGGGTTCATTACAAGCCACCCAACGCCTTGTGGCCGGACCCAGACGTGATGAAGACTTTACCCTTTGATTATATCGTCCATGACCCCAAATATGATGACATCAGCTTAGTCTACTGCCCTGGATATAGACCAGCTTCTGATGGTAGGCACAGGATGACAGATATAGACGACGATACACAATGGACCATATATATATTCAACTACATATTTCATGATGTTGTCCCAAAGTAGTCAGTTTTTTGTTGTTGTTTTTTTTTTTTGCCTTTGCAAGCCAACACTGTGCACCAGGAGGAAGTGTGCCTCAGGAGGCGCACAACCAGGATCAAACTGTCCAAGTATGCGGCCTTTAACACTTATCACCATTGTGAACAGTGTCATCTGTACTTGGGCTTCAACCCCCGATACCAGGTCAACAACACAGAAGCACGCAATCATATATTACCGATATTCTTTATTGTTATTTTTCTAAAAGCTGTAAATGTCAAAACTTTTTGTTGTGAATCCTAATTTAGATATACGAGTCGACGTTGCATGCCTTCACGTTCACCCATCTGCTGCTTGGAGAAGAAATCCAGCTGTATTTCATCATCCCCAAATCCAAAGAGCACTACTTTAGCTTCAACCAACCGGGAGGCCAATTGGAGGGTATGCGGCTGCCCCTCGCCGCAGATCGGGTGAGTCAGTGGACAGTCGACATGCCTGTCTACGGATGCTGTCGATCATGTTGAACGTTGTGGATTACCTTACACCCAATTTTTGAATTCTTGTTCTTACCTTGAGCCAAGCACAAAAAATGCAATGCACATTTTGTACCACTAAGTGGGGCTGTAGGTTATTCATATATTGTTGGCCAAATTGGCGTTGTTCTTCAGTATTCATGCAATGATGACCGTATCATGTTCGTTTTGTCAGAGCCCAAACTGCATCAAGAGTCCAATTTTCACTCCAACCACGGGGCGCCATGAGCATGGTCTCTTCAACCTTTACCATGCGATGGATGGAGCCGCGCACCTCCATATCCTGGTGGTCAAAGAGTACGAAATGGCCGTTTACAAGAAGTACTGGCCCAACCACATTCTCCTGGTGCTGCCTCCTGTCTTCAATGGAGCTGGGATAGGTGCTCGTCTGACTGTCACACACCACATAACTAAACTTTGTACATAGAGCTTTTTTTTAAGTGTTCCTGGTTCTCTTCCAGGAGCTGCTCACTTCCTGATTAAAGAGCTCTCGTACCACAATCTGGAGCTGGAGCGCAGTCGTCGGCAGGAGGGCAGCGGGCCGATCAGTGACGTCTGGCCTTTCATCATCCTGGCGGATGACTCGTGCGTGATGTGGAACGTCGTGGACTTCGACGCACGCAAGTACATGCTCACACAGTTTGTACTTCTTAAACTTTTTCCACCGAGTACCACCTCAAGAAATGCAGTCAGTGAAAAAAGGATTAGACCCCCCCCCCCCACCTTGTTTCTTCGATTTCTTGTTCATTTTAAATGGCTGGTACAACTGACGTCACGTTTGTTTGGGGAAAAACAATAATGGTAACAAAAATAGCTCATAAGAGTTTAATTCAAAAGCTGATATCCAGACATTTTGCTTATTTTTCGTGATAAAATCACTTCAAATAACTATCGCATTATACTGCCAAAACAGGGCTTATAGGAATTCCATGTTTTCTTTTATGTCTGTTCGACACATGATACACCTTTAGTGGTACCAACTGAATAAGAAATTGAAGAAAACAAAGTAGTGTTTTTTTTTTTTTTTTTTCTGTCTGCTGCTGCTAGTGGTCCAGTCGAACACGCCGCGTCACTGAAGCAGGTGCTGCAGCACATGGAAGGCTGCCCAGACCTAGCCCACTACGGCCTGTGTGGGATTAGGAAGTGGAGCAGTCGTGTACTCGCAGGTTAGAATTCATGATGGCCAAAACTTTTGTGTAGAGCATTTCCAACCTCTGGAAATGTGAAAATAGTAACTGGGGCCGAGTCCTGTTGCGATTCCTTTTCCCATTTGAAATGAATTGAAATTATTCTGTTCAAATCTTGTCTGTCAACACAAAGCAAACAAATTGACCAAGCAACTTAAAAACTTTCAATTAAATTAAATTGCGACACTTGAAAGTCAAGCGACCACTTGACACTGTAAAGTATAACACAAAGTCTAATACCAAAACACGTTCATATCATTTCCAAATCATCTCACCATTACCCTGAAGAAAGGCTTACAGATGATTTCATTTTGAAAATCAATCCTTAGCAAAACTGTAGAGATGGGGCTAAGCCTCTCCGTAACGTCTGCTAACGACCCAGGCTAAAATTAAATCTTCTCCAGTTCATGAAAATTTTAGTCGAGATGAACCACGTCAACCTATCTTACTTCCTTGACACAATTACCGCTACTTTTTTCTTATGACCCTGTGCTTGAATAATATTTCATAACGATTACCACATCAGTTTTCGATGATATGTACAGATATTTATATCAAACTCTTATTCAAGATTTGATGTCGGATGCTTTGTAGCGTCACATCGCTGCTGTACTGGACAAGTTGGTTGCGTCCCATCAAATGATTTCGAATGAAAAGGAGATTGTGTTTGTGTCTAGGCCCCAACCAGAGGAAGCCTTTCTCCAGAGGTCACGTCCATGACTTCCTCCTTCTCAACGTGGACCGCAGTCAGAACATCCAGTACGACCAGAACCGCTTCACTTGTCACGACATCGACTTCACCCTACGGCTGCACAGCGCAGGACTGCTTGTCTGCCGCTTTAACAACTTCAGCGTCATGAAGAAGCAGATCGCCATCGGGGGCTACAGGACGTTCATTATCAAAACAAAGGCAAGGACGCATTAAACGACCACTTTCGATACCATTTTTTTTTTTTTTTTTTTGGTAACTGACGAGAGGAAAAATCTGCCCAGATGACGGACGTTCCCACTTCAGTGGGGCCCTCTCAGTACGTCTGTGCCCCCGACAGCAAGCACCTTTTCCTGGCCACCCCGGCTCAGCTCCTCCTGGAAAAATATCTCCAACACACCAGCCACAAGCTCTTTCCTCTCAGCACCAAGAACTACGAACACCCGGTCCTGTCTGTGGACTGTTACATTAACCTGGGCCCGGAGGTAAACACACAACACATAATCAGCTGTTTTTTTTTTGTTTTTTTTTTAATGGAGTTTGGGTTGTAACTGGCCTCATGTTTGTGAGCACGATTGGCCAAAGGTAGGTAGAAATGTTTTCAATCTTTTCCTTCCAGCCTTCTTCCTTCCCTTTGGGTTGTTTTATATTTCCATCGTTTCTTCATTGAAGCTACTTTGTTGCTTTTCTTCCTTTGCTCCGGCACTCAAAAAATGGTGTGCTGAATTTTGTCAAGTGGCTGCAAAGAATAGCAATTAGATGCATTTTTTTTAAGTAGATGTAAAGTCTATTTTTTTTTTATTTGGATCCAGATGATTTTATTTCATGCAACCAATTGATGAGGTAAAATTAAATAAATTCAACACACCACATTTTTCTGTGTACTTTCCCCCTTTCCTTTCTGATCTTTTAAATGCCCCCTTTTCACTTGCACTCAGTTTTCTTCCCAGTGACTTTGCTTTTCTCAGCGCTTTCACTTCTTCCCTTCCTGCCTTCCTTTCCCCAGACCTGATTTTTCTTGCATCCTTCCTTCCTTCCTTTCATCACACCTGTTTTTGATTCATCCTTATATCCTTCTTTCCTTCACCTAAACCTACTTTGGTGCCTTCCTCATCTGTTTTTTTCTGGAATCTGGGCAAGTGGTAGGAGGGGTTGATTTTGACTCATGTAAAAGCGCCATTTAAAGATTAATTGATCGATTGATTGAGCGATCGATCTTTTCCTTCCTGGCCTCTTTCCTTTCTGCATGCCTTCCGTCCTTCAGATCCGCTTTTCATTCACGCGTCCTTCAATCATACCCTCATTCGCTTAAACACAGTTGTCTACCGTCTTTCAATCCCTCCTTCCTTCCATCGCACCCGTTTTTCCCCACGCTTTCTTACTTCCTTCCTTCTTTGCCTAAAACTCATTTTATATTTTTCTCGTTCCTTCCTCCTCTGACCTATTTTTGCTTCTTTCCTTCCTAACCTTCCATCGTGTGTGTCTTTCTGCCTTTCTTCCTTCCTGTTTTGCCCCCTCCTTCCCTGAAACCTGCTTTTTATTTGACATCCTTCCTTTGATTCAAACTACTTTTCTGCCTTCCATCCTTCCTTGGGCACAATTCAGTCCAATACTGCTTTAGAATCTACTTTTTAATTCATGACTCACATTTTGTTCTCGACTTAAAACATAAACAAGTTATATTAGTTTAAAAATGGACATCCACTTTGGCCCACACTGTATAAATGCTTCAAATCACTTTACTGCTTCTGATTGTACTGCACCATAACGTACAGCATATGTGCCGTCCCACTCCTGCCTCCGCCTCGCTAAACACACAACACATAATCAGCTTTTTTTTTTTTTTTTTTTTTTTAATGGAGTTTGGGTTGTAACTGGCCTCATGTTTGTGAGCACGATTGGCCAAAGGTAGGTAGAAATGTTTTCAATCTTTTCCTTCCAGCCTTCTTCCTTCCCTTTGGGTTGTTTTATATTTCCATCGTTTCTTCATTGAAGCTACTTTGTTGCTTTTCTTCCTTTGCTCCGGCACTCAAAAAATGGTGTGCTGAATTTTGTCAAGTGGCTGCAAAGAATAGCAATTAGATGCATTTTTTTTAAGTAGATGTAAAGTCTATTTTTTTTTTATTTGGATCCAGATGATTTTATTTCATGCAACCAATTGATGAGGTAAAATTAAATAAATTCAACACACCACATTTTTCTGTGTACTTTCCCCCTTTCCTTTCTGATCTTTTAAATGCCCCCTTTTCACTTGCACTCAGTTTTCTTCCCAGTGACTTTGCTTTTCTCAGCGCTTTCACTTCTTCCCTTCCTGCCTTCCTTTCCCCAGACCTGATTTTTCTTGCATCCTTCCTTCCTTCCTTTCATCACACCTGTTTTTGATTCATCCTTATATCCTTCTTTCCTTCACCTAAACCTACTTTGGTGCCTTCCTCATCTGTTTTTTTCTGGAATCTGGGCAAGTGGTAGGAGGGGTTGATTTTGACTCATGTAAAAGCGCCATTTAAAGATTAATTGATCGATTGATTGAGCGATCGATCTTTTCCTTCCTGGCCTCTTTCCTTTCTGCATGCCTTCCGTCCTTCAGATCCGCTTTTCATTCACGCGTCCTTCAATCATACCCTCATTCGCTTAAACACAGTTGTCTACCGTCTTTCAATCCCTCCTTCCTTCCATCGCACCCGTTTTTCCCCACGCTTTCTTACTTCCTTCCTTCTTTGCCTAAAACTCATTTTATATTTTTCTCGTTCCTTCCTCCTCTGACCTATTTTTGCTTCTTTCCTTCCTAACCTTCCATCGTGTGTGTCTTTCTGCCTTTCTTCCTTCCTTTTTTGCCCCCTCCTTCCCTGAAACCTGCTTTTTATTTGACATCCTTCCTTTGATTCAAACTACTTTTCTGCCTTCCATCCTTCCTTGGGCACAATTCAGTCCAATACTGCTTTAGAATCTACTTTTTAATTCATGACTCACATTTTGTTCTCGACTTAAAACATAAACAAGTTATATTAGTTTAAAAATGGACATCCACTTTGGCCCACACTGTATAAATGCTTCAAATCACTTTACTGCTTCTGATTGTACTGCACCATAACGTACAGCATATGTGCCGTCCCACTCCTGCCTCCGCCTCGCAGGTGACCGTGTGTTTCGTGAGTTCAAGACCTCACGCCGTCAACATCTGCACCACAGGATTGCTCTTCAGCGGCCTTCTCCTCTGTTTCGCCGACGCCTTTGTTACCCCGAGCTTCCTCAAGAAGTTCTCCTTCCTCAAAGGTACACGTGCCATCCAACTTAATGACACTCAGATGCAAAAAAAACGCACCAAGTAAGGGAAATCATCGTGGGTGCTCGCCTGTGCCTCCCTGCAGGCGCAACTCTTTGTGTGATCAGCGCAGATCGCAGCTCCTTGAGGCAGACGGTCGGCAGGCTGGAGTTGGAAGAGGAGTGGCGGTTCAGGCTCAGCGACGAATTTCAGACGGCGAACGCCAAGGAGGACCGACCCCTCTTCTTCCTGACAGGAAAACATATCTGACCTGGAACAAACAAGAAGAAGATTTTTCACTCAATGTATTGTTTACATGCATGTTGTGTGCTCTGAACTGAAAACTGCCATTTGTAATCTCAACATCTGGAGATTTCTCAGTGGGTTACCCTGGTTTTGCAATAAATAAGTGGGATTTGTATCAAAAGTGATGCACTGACAAAAAAAAAATCATAAGGGTACTATTGGAAAATAATGAATTGATGGATATAATGTAGTGCTTCACATCTTTGTGCACCTTCCCACGAAATGAATGTGAGAAAAACGATGCAGGTACAAGCGTGTGCAATGTCTCGATGCAATATTCTGCAGCCTTACTTTCTGCAGACTTTTAACGACACAATCATTCATTGTATGAGGGTAGCCGATTTTTGGCATCAAGTGCTTTTTTTTCCCAGTAGATGATTTCTGTAGAGATGTACATGTATTTGCATGTTAATTATTTTTAAGAGTATTTTGAGTACTTATCTGCTGCATGTGTAAGACAGTGGGTGTTGTCTCTTTGTCATGATTTAGACTTTGTAACGCTTCCATTTAATGTTGTTGTACTGCAAATCGCACATCACAATGTACAGCTCCAAATGCCTTGAAATGTATAAATGTACAGATATTTTTAACTTCTAATGTGTTGTTTTGAGATGTTTGAGTCTTTTTTTCAGCCAGCGCATAGGGCTCAAGTCTCTTAACCTACGTAAATCCTGCGCGTGACGTAACTCCATAATGGTCAATGGCAGACGAGTATGTGCTGGTGGATCTGCAAGAGGGAGGGTCGTGCCACTGTGGGAGTTGTCTCAGCCGATTTCAGTCATGGGCAAATCAAACTATCTGGCCAGTTTTGCCTATTCCTTTACACTACAGAACACTATTTGAGCATTAAATACATTTAATATACTGTGCAGACCAGTGTATGATATGTATTGCTCTGGTGGCACTCTGCCCCCATTTGCCCCAATGCAAAATGATAATTGTTCCTGTGCTACTCAGTGTTTGATTGCTTGCTGAGCTATGTGCTAAGTTTTACACGTTAATAATAGATGTCAGACTCTTTGAGGGCGTGGGTGTGCTTCATGTCTGAGTGAGCAGTTGTTGTGTTGTGTAATACTGGCATCATGGCATCAGCAAATGGCTTTCTAGGTATGTAGACTGTGACGTTAGAAGGGTCCTCCAACTTTCTCAAGTTACCTTCTACTGGTCCATTACAAGGAGGTAAATTTAGTCCAAAACGCTGCACGCTACATTTGCTACAAATGTAATCACTGGATTTCCCTGAGGAACTTTTGCACAACCATCAAATATCTTACAGTAAAATTACATTCTGCTAAGCTCCAAATTTATTGAGAGAGCACATTTTTTTATGACATACAGTAATCTTTTTGATGACTGTTTGCCTTAAACCTTCCCTCTGACCTTGTGTGGCATATTTATGATATATTTTGGAAAATATTCATTAGGATGGCCTCACCATGGTGCATATGAGGTAGCAGTATTGGCACATTGTGAATGAGAGCCCCAATGAAAACAGATCACTGGTAAGAAAATACATTGCTGCTGCTACCAACTGTTAAAAAGTTTCGGTACTTTCGGTACAAGTCGCTGTTCACTAACAAGCGCTGACGTAACAATATTCCCTCTGTTTTTGTTGTAGTCTGCCGTTAAAGTAAGTGTCGTTAGTGCCTAACAACAATGTGCGCCTTTGTTATCGCCACGTGGAGAACTTTCGTCACACTTCAGGCCACAGTTGAAAGCGGAGGACATTACATAACAGCACCACTATGTTGAGCCACTGTGGGCTCAGGCTACACCTCCATACTTCCTTTTCCACCGTACCACACGGGGGCCTAAAGTTCATGTTCAACTGAAGTGTATCCTTCCTGTATTTTCGAGCCGCTGTTTACTTTTCCCCGCTGCTGATATGTATGCAGCCACGCTGTAGGAGCTGTAGTCTTGCTTATTTGCCAAACAAAATTTGTGAAGGTCAAAAGTTCATCTCAGGCATACGTGCTTTCAGCATACTGCAAGCTTAGTCGGGTAACTTGTGTAGTCAGGAAAATATGCCACTTTTGAATAAAAGCAGCCTTCTCGACCTTATAGCTACACTTGCCTATGTATGCTTATATCAAGACTGACACGTAAAACTCGAAACGTGAAAAAATGTTTATTGAGATGATTTATTTGAAATTTAATTCCTTTAATTCAGATTAAAACTAATATTCACTTGTGCATACATTCAGTGGATATAAAAAGTATACACACCCCTGTTCAAATGCCACGTTTTGTTTTAAAAATGATAATCATCTTTTCCCCCCAATACTGTGACCACCTCTACAACTCAAATGATTGAAAAAAAAAAACTCTTTTCAAGAAATTTAGGAAAAATAAACAACTAAGACAGTGTGGTTGCACAACTGCGCACACCCTCTGAGATGTGGCTGTGTTCAGAATTAACCAGCCACATTCAAACATACATTAAATGGGAATTTGCACATACATGCCACCATTGAAAAAACATCAGATTGAGTCTAAATCAAGTTTGGCTGCTATAATAGGCTTTTCCTGACATGCATGATGATGCCATCACCAGGCTTCACAGTAGGCAAGGTGCACTTTGTGTTTTCAAATTTAGGCAAAAAGTGTGTAGTACATTGGTTCAGGGTGTGTAGACTTTGTTTTAGCCATTGTGAGTTTTCGCCTTGATGCACCATCAAGGTGTCTCAAGAAAAGTTTGACAACAATAACAACTTCAAGTCTTTTTTTGAAAATGATCCCACAAACTTGGCACAACTATCTTTGGGAAATGTCACCCATTCCTCTTTGCGGCACCTCTCAAGCTTCTTCAAGTGAGATGCGGCATGTCAGTAACAACCATTTCCAGATCTCTCCAGCGGTGTTCCCCCGGATTCAAGTCTGGGCTCTGAGCGGGTCTACAACAGCTTTTGCCAACTCGCGTTGGAACAAAATGTTTCTTCGCAAAATTAATCACAAGACATCATTTGTGGGACACCGCATTGGGGACAGAGCCAATGGTTTGTTTTGCTTTTTGGGGGTGTGGCTCAGGCTGCCTTCTGATTGGCTTACGAACACCAATACCCCTCCCCCCCATCTCCGTGGTGATGAAAGGAATGCAGTCTTGACCTTGAAAGGAAGGAGCTACACTTTCCTCTCTAACGTGTCACGAACGGCACACAACTGCTGAACCAGTGGAGGAAACGTCAGTTTACTCACACACACACACACACACACACACACACACACACACACACACACACACACACACACACACACACACACACACACACACACACACGCAAAGTTTGTCCTAATTTTTTTTCCATTCATTAGTAATCAGCTGATCAGTTGATTTGTGAGTGAAAAATGAGAATACTAGCTTTTTGTGAAAATAAACATGTCAAGGAAAACAGTGATTTTGACGCTAATTTGTTTTGATTTTGTGGCACCCAAACTATAAAACGAGTCAGGAAGGAAAGGGTTTTGATTGCAAATAACGACGTAACGCTTCTTTTTTACATGGCCTTTACCATTCACATCGTGAAGTGCGTCTTCTATTCTCCCACCAAATCCAAAATTTTCATACACCTCATGTATTGACCCTCATTTGTGGGTGTACCTAACGAAATGCCCGATGAGTGTCCAGCAAGGCAGAAAATGTGGTTTATTTTCTTGAAAACATGGGAGAAACATAACAAAGTTGTTGCGCAACTCTTAACTGTCTGCCACCCACAATCACATTGTGGAAATTCTCCCTCCAAAAGACTCTGCTCGCTCTGAACATTTCCTTCTGTCTCCTCCCTCTTAACTTTCTCTGCTGGTGGCTCCTTAGTAAATCACTCAGTTCTTGGAAAACCCTGCACGTGTTTCCTTGTTCCCCTGCCCGGCTGGGTTCAACTGATAGCGTTTCTGCATTTACGTGTGTGTACATGAGAAACTGGGAGCAAATCACAACGGTCACGTGTTTAACGGTTGTGTAGTGCAGAATATGGACTGATAAGAGAAAACGATCCTCTTGGTCATATACTGCAACTGCGCACACTTGAACAAGCACGCTGTCGCATAGCAACGGCAACGCTCCATTGGCTGCATTGTTAGATAACGCTGTTTACTTTTGTTTCAATTTCATTTTTTAATAAAGAGCAGTGTTACAAATGAAAAATGATTTTTTTATTGAGAAACTTTCATTCCGCAGTACTGTAGTTTTTTTTTTGGGGGGGGTGCGGGGTGTTTCTCAACTCCTCTTCCTCTCTATGATTCTGTGAAAATTGTAGGCATGGCTCTAAGTACTGTAGTCAAATGTTTATGGCCAATTGGGTAATTAAAATTCCAGCCTTTGAACTCTGCCTAGCAACATGGAAAAAAACTTTCAATTCATTATTTCAACTTGATTTCAGTTGCGAACATAACTAGGGTATGGATTTTTTTTTTTTTTTTTTTTTTTTTTTTTACTGACTTAGCAATTCTGCCTTGCAACAAGTGACCACCACAAGAAAAACAGTAAATGTACCAGGGCATTTCTGTTGATCTTCATTCGGTTCACCTGCTAACTCTCTAGGTATTCATTCATCCATCCATCAATTAATTTTCAGTAGTTTTCACACCTTGGACTGGTCTGGTCATCAGCCAATTGCAGATTTGTAGTTAATTTGGTGTAATGAATCAGAAATGATGTGTGTGCAATTAATGAACAAACAGCATTGCTGTGGTAAAGAACATGTCTTGTAATGAAAAAATATATACAATAAATGTTATTTTCCTGGCATGTAAGTGCATGGTGTCTCGCCATTTTTTGTTTGACAACAAAATGTTGCTTTGAAATACAAAGACTGGTATGTTTTGACTAGTGTTGTACCCTATTGAAAGGTCAGTCGTTAAAAACAGCATTAGGTTCTGTTGCATGCACACGGTGCTACTTAAGGCTTGATTCTGGGAATCACTGGGCAGCGTGTCCACAGTCATGGAGCCGTGCCAGAGGGAGGAGACCAAGTGGGGGTGACAAGCTGTGTTTCTTTATGGAGGGGGGTCTCTGTCCACAATCAAGTGCGAGGCATATTATATAATCGCGCATCTGTAATCAGATTACAGATTTGTGGGTGGAGAAAGTGGCATGTACAATTAGAGCTTGTTTAACCACCATATGGCCACACACACACACACACACACACACACACACACACACACACAAATCCAAGACTCAACACAATTTTGTCTTTCAGAGTAGCATCAAAATGAAATTATTTGGATTTTTTTTTCTTGCTGAAATGTTGATGTTATTTGTCCTGTAGTAACCTACAGTCTGCCTTTACATAGCCACAGAGATTTATTGTTTCACTATCCGACTTCCTGTTGCACGCACGTGCACACACTTAGTCATGCATGTGCAGTACATCTTTCACACATACTAAATAGAGGCAGAGGAAACACGATAATGTCTTGTTGTGTCAGTAAAAACATAGGCCTACAATCCACAAAAAAAGGTCACGTACAGCCGCTCAGATGCCAAGATTTTGTGACATGAAAAAAATGATTGGACCATCACAACAAGAGAACACAATAAAATCTCACTAACGTGGAAAAATTGTTACAGCCTGACATAAGCAAGGTTCGGCCATAATTCTCAAGTGTGATGTTTTGCGTGAATATAACAGACTGCATATGATCAAAAGAACACCATCCCAACAGTGAAACATGGTGGCAGCATCATACTTTGGGGCTGTTATTCTTCAGCTGCATCTGAGTCCTTAGACACGGTGGTGGGCAATATGAACAGTTCCAAATTTTGAACCTTCTGTGTGAAAGCATTAAATAAAAAATAAAATAATAATAATAATAATAATCTAGAAAAGCCTTACAGAAATCTATTTGTTGATAAGGCACTTTAAATGGCGACAGGTGTCTGCTGGCTTCCCATTACAATTAGTTTGAAAGTGATTCGTTAATTCTGAACAAAGCCACACGCTTGTGAAACAAAAATATCTCAGTTGTTTATTTTTACAACCCTCTCAATTTTCACGTTCAATCGCGTTGTACAGGATATACAAAGTAGGTTATATTAATGGTGAGGTTTTTCTTTCACTGATTTGTTTTATTGTCAGTTTTTACGTCACAAACCTGGGTGTGTAGATTTTTTTATATCTACTTCATGTTCTCTCTCTACCGGGAAGCTGCACACAAACACACATGCCAAGTAACACATTCAATATTCTAACATTTGTCAACATATGAGCCAAAAAAACATCTCTCAGTCGCAAGATACTCATGGTCTCTTTTTTTCTGGCAATGTAACTTTTTTTTGTGGTTGAGATCTGCAGTTTCATTAAAATAAGGGGCTGATCAATTGTTTACAAACCGCATAATAATGACACAATCAGTAGCTATGAAATCATTTACTAACATTCACAAATTACTTTAAAGATGAGTGTGCTCACTATTAAATGTGTAAGCAACTGCCAAACGATAAATATGTAAAAGCCTTTTCTAATCTCTTCAAAAGAGTACAGACATTGCAGAGTGGTACCACGTGTACCATAAACAGAGTGGGAGCTTGTGTGTACATTTTGATTTTGTCAAGCGTGACACAGTGTGTTGCGCAACAGCCTTCATTGATGACTTCAAGTTCCCTATGTCTGCTATCCTGGTTCGATGGCCTGCAAAAATATCTTACGTAGTTAATTGTGAGAAGGTGCAGCAATCAAAGAGTAATAATTACAACGTGAATAATTTCATGGTAGTGAAATAATTTTTCAAAATAGAGAGAAATAAGAAGAATATACAATGGCAGGCTACAGAAGCCTGTGAGGTACAGACTGAGGATGTCACATGACTGAATAAAAACAGGACATCAATTCGGTAGACCACAACTAGGACAGGACGATGAGATAGTTTTGTAATCTCATTTGCCTACTAGAGGTCAAAAATGAGAACACGGTATGATACAATGCACTTCCATTTCTACAAAACAAAACTGCAATTTTAAATGTGTAAAATGAATTCCTGCTTGCGGAATTTCAGTCTCAAAATTTACAAACCTTAATTTTCACAGCAGCAATAGTCACATATACGCTCCTATTACTTAAAAGAAAATAAAGAAAAAAAACTACAAAGAACACATACAAGAGAAGTATTGAGATAAATGGCTTCAAAAGAGAACTCCCGTAGACGTCACTGGAGTACAGCCAATCAGAGGGCGTTTTATTTGCAGTGCGGTGGTAGTGGGAGGAACGTTTGCGCTGCAGTTTTAAATAGCGACGCAGCCTTGAACAGAGGAAAAAAATCATGTTGCAGACGAATCTTTGTGGCAATGCCTGACCTGAGGACACACAGGTAACACTTTTAAACGCCCCATATTCGGACGGGAAAGTCGCAGAAGCCGCAGCAAAGCCTGACGATAAATGTAAGTAACATCACCAATCCAGGCATTTAGCGGAATATTTATTATACATGAATGTAATTGTATGTGGAGGGTGAGGGCTTGTTTTGCACATTTTTTGAATGGGGTTGTTTCAATGGTGAGCATCGATGCAGACTGCAGAGCCTCACCCATGTGGAACATGTTTACATGTCTCCCTCAAGGCCGCCACAAGACTTGTTCTGTCGTTTTATGGTTCTGAGGTGATTTATGTCATCGTTATGTTCAGAGAGCAAATATCTTTCATTTTTGTCTACGTTGACGCGCATCAAACTGACAGCATTTTCATGTAGTTTATTGGCATTCTCGCATCTAATGCTTCGTGCTTGTTGTTTCACATTGAAATGATCATCGATTGTACATCCTGGTAATTAATTCGGAGGGAGAGTGTTCTAAATAAGAACGCTCCTCCTGTGGGTTCTCTTCTGATAGCGCAAGCAAACAATGTGTGCAGATAGACTCCACTCGTTGTCCCGTGATCATCTATTACGTAATATACACGCACTATGATTGGCTGTTAAGGGGACATTTGATGAGCGTGCGTGCTTCTGTGTGCGTGAGTGTGTGCGGGTGGCTGTGTGTGTGTGTGTGTGTGTGTGTGTGTGTGTGTGTGTGTGTGTGTGTGTGTGTGTGTGTGTGTGTGTGTGTGTGCGCGCGCGCGGTCTGCGCACATGTTCAGTGTTGACAATGACATCAGAGATCAGGAGTGCCGTGGGCCAGAGTCAATGTGCATGTGTATAAACATAGCAGTCTGTTCAGTCAAATATCGCCCATGCCACCATCTTGCGTTGTTTAGACTTGGTGACAAACATAATAGCTTTGAAAACAATACAATTGTGTATTGTGTTCATTACGGTGGTTACAAGTCGTAGGTGCTTCATACAGTCGTTTCTAAAGTGTTGGTTAACACAGTGAGCTTCATGCAGTCAAACTTTTTCCCACTAAGATGCAGTGTAGTTCAAAACAACTGAAAACTATGACCACACTCTCTGTTGCTGTCTGGAGATTTAGCATTGTAAGTTAATTGTTAAATGTTGGGCAGCACGGTGATGACTGGTTAGCACGTCTGCCTCAGAGTGCAGAAGTCACGGGTTTGATTCCGGGCCGTGTCCTTTCTGTGTCGAGTTTGCATGTTTTCTCTGGTTGCTCTGGTTTCCTCCCACATTCCAAAAACATGCATAGTAGGTTAATTGATCACTCTAAATTGTCACTAAAAGTCATTGCGACTGTGAATTGTTGTTTGTCTATGTGTGCTCTGCGATTGGCTGGTAACCTGTTCTGGGTGTACCCCACGTACTGCCTGAAGACAGTTGGGATAGGTTCCAGCACGCCCATGATCCTCGTGAACATAAACGGCTCAGATAATGGATGGATGGATGTTTAACTGTTGTGTGGTGCAGTGAATAGCCTCTGAATGACTCTGTTCATGCAGTTTAGGCTCCCGCCCAAAAAAGTCCTTCATAAAAAGTCATCATTCAGTTGAGACAATAAGACTATGCTAAGATATCAGTGAGAAAAAAATACTTGTATAATGATTCAATTATTGCACATAAAAGTTAAACAATAATGTAAATAAAATAAATGTTTCGAAATGGTTCATGTCGATGACATGCAAACGTATTATCCTTGAAATTTAAATACAAATGAACTGTACTTTGAACTAATCTGCTTATCTTCACAAGGGTGAGTGTGCCTGATCCTATCCCAGCTGTATTTGGGGTACGCCCTGAACTGGTTGCCAGCCAATCGCAGGACACACATTCATTCCACCATTCATGGTCACAATCGCACCTGGGGATAATTTTGAGTGTTCCATTAATCTGCCGTGTATTTTTTTGGATGGTGGGAGGAAACCGGAGTACCTGGAGAAAACCCACACGAACACGTGGAAAACATGCAAACTCCACACAGACAGGCCGGAGCCAGAATCGAACCCTGCACCTCTGCACCGTGAGGCGGACGCGCAAACCAGTCAATCATGTGCCGCCACTGTTTGGACTAATAAAGACAAAAATTCAACCGCCATTAAGAAGAGACACAATGTTTTTTTTTTTGCTGAAATGGACAAAAGTTTGCCATCGTTAGTATCAGTGGAACATTACTGTGTTCAACTCTCAGCAGTGACCCAATGTCTCTGTTTCCACTTCCAGACCATGAACTATGTGGGTCAGCTGGCGGGCCAGGTGTTTGTGCAGGTCAAGGAGCTGTACAGAGGCCTCAACCCCGCAACGCTGTCCGGCTGTATCGATGTGATCGTGGTGCGGCAGCCCAATGGCTCCCTTCACTGCTCGCCCTTCCACGTGCGCTTCGGCAAGATGGGCGTCCTGCGCTCACGGGAGAAAGTGGTGAGACAATGAGAGCGATTCATAGACTGTATGTGCCAGTTATTTTGGATACAGTATGTGATTTCTCAGAGGGCTACATTTTTCCAGTACTTTGCTGCATATTCAGCATTCAGTACAGTTAAATAAAGTCCATCAACAGTCACATTAGAATTAGGATGACTGTACAATTTTTTTTTTTTTCTGTGCAGGTGGACATTGAGATCAACGGAGAGCCTGTGAGTTTGCACATGAAGTTGGGAGAAAATGGAGAAGCCTTCTTTGTTAAAGAAGCTGAGAACACACTGGTGAGTGTTGATCCCCTGACTGCAAAAAAACACAACTACTTCATATGTGCATAATAATAATAATAATAATAATAATAATAATAATAATAATAATAATAGCAACATAAATAATGTAAAACAAAAAGGTCTGACTCAGAGTCAGATTTGCTTATCTGAGTTTTATATATTTGGTTGCAAAGTGTGGAAAATAGCCAATATGTGTTTGAAAGTGGATAGATTTGATTTTGAAAATATAAAAATCTTTTCATGACTTACTGACTCAAACATTAGAATCTCCGTTGCACCTAGAACTCAATCAGGCATCAAGTAAACAAAGATAATAATTATTTGCTTTGTAAAGCCAATTTTTTTTTGCCTCTGATCATACACTATATAGGTTCCAAAATTGATTTTAAACCATAAATTAAGAGATCGTGAAGGCTTTTCAAGGTGATCCCTTCTTCCCCGAACAGGAAGTTGTTCCAGCCTACCTGGCAACGTCTCCCATCATGTCGACAGGTGAGGAGCTGATGAACTCCCAGTTGAGCAGGAGCAGCGCACGTCACCGCGGTAAATAACGAGCTCACTTTTGGGAGAATAACCCCTAAGTTTTCGTTGAGACCGCTCCCGTTCTGTCACCAAACAGACAACGCAATGTGCGGCTCGCATCCTGTCCAGAGCATCGGGCCGCAGCAGGGCGAAGGAGGCATGAATAAAAAGAGGAGGAAGAGAAGGAGGAAGGCTCGGCCAGATGGTGGAGGAGCGAGGCGGGACGAAAGCGGAGAGGAGTTTTCAGATGATGATAACATGTTCACCATTGACCTGAGCTCTGATGAGGAGCGAGGAGATGGTGGAAGGTGTGTGTGTGTGTGTGTGTGTGTGTGTGTGTGTGTGTGTGTCTATGATCGATTATTCCATCCTGTATTAGTTCTTCTGTATCTATCCCCACACACATCCAAAGAAGAGATTTAATGTGCGTATTTGTGTGTGATAATTCAAAGCGGCTTCCGTTGTTGGAGGCGCTCCAGGAATTTGTCCCGTTCCCATGGCGCTCTCTGTTTCCTTGACATAATGGACCGCAGCGGTGTCCCTGCTGCTGCCTTTCCAGGCTTTTTTAGGAAGTCTTACCAGACTGATGGCATGAGAACATTCCTGAGACACTTTCAGTTGGTGGAAGATAAAGTTTGAGTCAAAAAGTGAAGAGCAGGGGCATCTTAAATTTCTACATGAATAATGATAGTAATTGAGAGTTGATGCAGATTGTGTTTTGTTTTAGTCTGTGGCAGAGTTCAAATCGGACTGTGGTGTGTTTGTGTTTTTGTGACCAGAACTTTACACAGTGATCAAGGCTCGGCAGCCAAAACGCACCCCAGTGCGGACTGGACGCGTCCACAGAGGTACACTACCAGCATGCATACATGTACACATAGATCCATCTTTTAGTCATTCATGCTGTTCTCAGTCGTCCTCTGTTGAATTTATTCTGTCCGTATAATCAAGGAAGTCACCACCAAGCAACATGTTCACTTCCGTAGGGGCGGTAATTGTGAAATTATCCACTGGACAGGTTCAGTGCAAAATCAAAAGCTGTATTGATTTTGAAGCATATCTGGACCAAGATGGCTAGAATTAAAATTAAAAGTATCATTCTTGTACATTCTTTGCCGGTGGCAACTTTAAGTTGATGTTCTGCTAGTTTTTCAGGGGCTTTTTGTTTTATGTTTTTTAAGCAAGAATTTCTATTTGTTGGAATTGAGAATTACCAAAATACATTTGAGTTACACAAAAATAAAGTCATTAAATGATTCTTGTCACCTCTCGTCCATCTTTGAATAGCATACACCAAAAATATTTGACATCACTGAAGTCAAACATCAGTTCAATAGTCACAGTTGTGAAACCATTTTTTTTCCAAAGTTGTGCGCCATGTCAGTACAGCAGGTGATAATAATTTTGAATGAAAACCAAAAAATGCGAGATGCAGTTGAAGTCATACACCAAATAGCAAGCAGCCAACTCCGAGCTGCCTTTTAACCACTTCTCACCCATTTTAAAATCAAATAACAAAAAATCTTTCTCGGAATCTTGGTTAGGTTTCTGAGCAAGAGCCGTATTGAGTTTGAAAGATCGCCAAAACAAGATTGCAGAGGTAGCTGAGGTCAAACCCTGAATCATTAATAGGTCCATTTGCGTTACATTCCACCTGCGACGACACAGTGTCTTGTTTCTCTCCAGTGAGAAGCTAATATCATGATTCACTGTCTGTCGATTTTCTCTTCTGCTCTTCTTTGCTCATTTTGTGTTTATCTTCTCATAGTCATGTGATAAAGGAGACTCTCTCCATCCCTCCGTCCTGCGGTCTGTCCATCTCTTGTCCGCAGCAGACCCCTCAGTTTTCTTCCCACCTTAGGTATCACTTTCACTTACTTAGAGGACACTATGCACTGACTGACTCTGCACATCAAATTACCAAAATATTTCTGCAATACAATACTGACTGTTAAATACATTTCCACACTGTCTTTTTAAAGTATGTATTTTTTTTTTTTTTTATAAGCAACATAGATGACTCTCGGTCTGCCACGCCCAAGAGCGACTCTGAGCTTACCAGTCGAGCTAAAGACAACCCTGAGATGCTGTGGACCTGGGGAGAGCTGCCACAAGCCGCTCAGGTATTGACGCAAAACACGGACACACACGCCTGGTCTTCAGATACCTGTAAAAATGAGGTACATATCTAATATAAATATTGGGAGGGACTAAAGAGTGAATTGAATTATATGAAAGTTTTATGGATAAAGGGCACACGCAACCACTTTAATATAGCTTCCACTCTTTATCTGAAAACTGTCTTCAAGATTTCAGGGTGTATATATCTAGGTCGGTTCTCTTGTCCACGTGTGTACCCATGAAAATTTCTCTGAACCAATGTTCTCACCTTCTAGCCATCCTTCCTGACTTCCCATCAGAAGCAGGATTGTGCCACATCAGTCTCCATTCCTGTGTCCTCCAGCACTCACTTCAGAAGCATCAGTGATGGCGGACCGCACTCCCGACCTCACTATACCTCCCAGCAAGGCGAGATGCATGGTGACAGTAGAGCCAAGCACCCTGACTGTGGGAATGAGGGAAGGATAGCTGAAGAGCATGGTAAGATGGGGGAAAAGTACTCTCACGTTCGTCTACTCATAACCCAGTTGGCGCCACTCCTCACCCTTTGTCCATATTCTTTCTCACAGAAAGCGCGGTGGACAGTGTGGGCGCGTCATGTGCAGAGATGGAGAGTTTAACGGCATGTTCGGTGGCTCCGAGCTTCCTCCCTCATCTGGAGGAAGACGGGAACAGAGGAAGCCCAATCAGAAGAACGGATTCACCTTCCAAGAGGAAAGGTATCGGCACGCTTGATGAAAATTATCCAAAATAAGAATTTACAATGTCTCATTATTATTATTTGACTGACTGTGTCACATTAGAGAAAAGAAGCCAGCATCTTGGTGCTGATGGGGTATACTTGGATGATCTTACCGAGCTGGAGCCGGAAGTAGCTGCTTTGTATTTCCCTAAAAGGTACAAACAGCACAATATACACACACACACACACACACACACACACACACACACTGGACAGTGGATTAAGTACACTTTCAGAATGTAATAAAATGAAAAACATTACGGTATACACCGCTCTTGTATTGAATCTCATTAGATTGTACAGGCGTAGGATACTAACTGACCTAAGTGACCCTCTGCTACTTCCATAGCGATGGAGGCAGCAGCTCGATGAAGTTGGACTCAGAGGCGATGATGACTGGCGTCCGCAGTGCAAATCAGTCTCCGCAGTCAGTAGGCAGCTGTGGGATGGACAGTGGTGTGGACAGTCTGCTGGACCACTTGGGGGACCTTCCTCACGTAGCCATCTCGCTATGCGGCGGACTGTCTGACAACAAAGAGATCACACGAGGTATGAACAAGACTTGGATGATGCGGAAACATTTGTAACATGCTGCTTAGTATGATCCACTGTCGCCTACATTCGGGATGAACATTTGACTGTATTAATTGACTCAAAGGGAAAAAAATCAATGAGTTGATTATTTTATTGGTATGGATTATGAACTCCTGTTTCCCTGCACTGATGAGAATAATGGTACCTGAAGGAGTTCTGATAAATAACAAAAATCCATGAGTAGTTGACCCCACCCCCAACCCCAAAAGGTTTATATCATGGCGATTTAATGCTAAATGAAGTTCCTGTCTTTACTCTTCAACATTGCTCCTTGGCACCAAGAGACCACAAGATGGCATCCAAAACACAATTTCTCTATTAAGCCTTTCAAAATTAACCTCTTCCGTTTGATACATCAACATAGTACCAAAGCACTACTTCTCTAAAAGGCAGGGCAATGTCCTGTCTAAAAGAAGCTCCTCTCCGCATTTCTACATAGTTCCTAGGCACCAAGATGCCACAAGATGACACTGAAGCACTACTTTTCTGTCAGATAGGGCTGTAGCCTGTCTTAATGAAGCTCTTTCCCTCACCTCAGCATAGTTGCTTGGTACCAAGATGCTACAAGGCAAATGAAGCTCCTCCCTTCACTTCAATATGAAATGGCACAAGATTGGCAATAATGCATCATGTTTATATTAGACAGAGCGTGTGTGGGCTGTGTAAATCCTCCCTTCACTCCAACATAGTTCCTTGACAACAAGGTGGCACGAAAGCAATATGTTTTTATTCGTGAAGGTTTTGGTCTGAGCACAAAAACGGACAATAGGTGAGATTTTAGCAAATAATTCAGGATGAATTTGCAAGCGGTGAAATCTGAACATGCGGGGGAAGACTGCAGTTCATCTTCCCATCACTGACATCATGTTGTACTTCTTGAGACATCAAACTAGTTGAGACTTGAATGGTTGCAATCAAGTAGTGTACTCTGTTTTGCCTCAGTTGTTAAGATTAATTCACAATCACTTCCGCACCATCAGCAGAATCTTAAATATCATTCAGAACTATAATCACTCATTTAGTATGCCAAACGCATTTTAGCGAATATAAATATTAGACAATTTTGTCAATTTTTGTGCGTGTGTGTGTGTGTGTGTGTGTGTGTGTGTGTGTGTGTGTGCGCGCGTGTGTGTGCGCATGTGTGCGTGTGTGTTTTGGCCTTCATAGAGCAATTCCAGGAGAGGGCAGTTTCCTACCAACAGTTCTCAGAAAACCCTTCCCTTATCGATGATCCCAACCTAGTGGTGAAGATTGGTAACAAGTATGTACAGCGTACGACACACGTGTTCTTGAATGTACGTGTACTGTATGTCGGACACTTTCACAACCACAACATCCAATATAAGAGCTGCCTGCTCACACTTTTTATTTATACACTAGCTCTTTGACTGGAACTCATTAGATTGCTGGTGCACTGCACGTGTATCTGATGTGGCCAGTGAGGAATTGACTCTGGCATTTTTTGTACAGGTACTACAACTGGAGTACGGCGGCTCCGGTCATGTTGGCTATGCAGGTCTACCAGAAGCCATTGCCACAGGTAAGACCACTGCAGTGATCTGTTTTTCATGCCTACACTAATGTGGCTTCGTCATGCTGAATCAAGTTGCTGCATTAAGACTTTTAAAGACAGAAACGACATGATTATAAAGTCTGAGGTATTTGTCGCGAAAAGATTGGGTCATTTCTGTCCCACTAATGGTTGTTGGGTGCTGTTGGAGAGCTTTCCAACCCTTTCCATGCAATTCTCTGCACTCTGCGCAATTGTAGGCACGAGTTTATAGCAGCAATTTTCACTTTGGTGTACAATTTTTCGAAAGCGATCTACATGTTAAACTGGATAACTTGTGTTCAAGTTGGTTTTGTCAATATTTACATGAGCCACATTGGGAACTGTATCAAACACCAGAGTGAAATGTCGCTTTATGTGAGCGTCCTAACACTTTATTAATATCATGTCTTTGTCCCCCTTTTGACCTGTTCTCCCTTTGATTTTACTTATGTCATGTCTTTCACCATCCATTCCAAGTTTTGGTGTTTGAGTTATTTTTTTTCTGCTTTCGGCCTCTTCTCGTACTGCCTTCCTGGTCTGTTTGGCCCCAGACCTGCTGAGCCTGTATGATGTTTTGTTTTGATTAGTTTTGTTTGTCTCGCATGTTGATCAGTGCATGTCTGTTTTGTTTCTGCTGATGTCGCATGCTTGCTTTGCATGCATTTGCTAGTGACAGGACATTGTGATTTGCTTTGCTGATTTTTGAGGGCTATCTTGTGAGTCCATCATGTTCTCTGCTCATCAGTTTTGAGTTTTTGCGTGGTATGTGCATGGTTTTGTCCAGGCCTCCGTGGAGAACATCATGAAGGACAAGATGCCCAAGAAGGGAGGGCGTTGGTGGTTCTCCTGGAGGAGCAGAAACAGTGACTCAAAATCGGTAAGTGGACATGATCAACAACACGCAGCCACCCGATGACGCATTTCTCTTTCAGGAGTCAGCGACAGAGGCTGCAGAAGACCGAGATGAAAGTTCCATCATCACGGCAGCAGCTGTTAGGTTAAATCCATGTGTTTCTCTTTTATCCTGTTTCACAGCTTTCAACTTGGGGTCCTCAAACCGTTTCATTTGTTGTTTCTGACAGAATGAAAGATGAGTCGTCTTCCAGTGACGATGACCGCAGACCCACTTTGGTGTCTGGAACCTGCCAGTCTGACACCCTCCTTGCTTCTGGTAACGTTTGTTACAAGAAGACTCTTCGGCTCACTTCAGATCAGTTGGTAAGTCTTCTGAGATGTATTTTCATCATTAGGCGATTAGTGAAGCATGATGACCTAGTGGTTATCGATGCAGGAATTGATGGATAGGATTCAAAATAAATAGCTAATAGTTCTTGCTTTTTGATGGGAATAGGCTGGCAGTGAAAGTTCAAGAAAATTTGAGAATAGGCAGCACAGTTCATTGAAGACTGTGTCGGTGTGAATGTGAGTGTGAATGCCGGTATATCTACCAGTATATGTGCCCTGTGATTGGGTGGCGACCGGTCCAGGGCGTACTGATCCCCTGACCTCTTGCTAGGCATCTGTGATAGATCTAAGCCCCCACCTGTGACGCTAATGACAACAGATAAACTGGATTAGTGAATTGTGTTATTTTTGCAGTATCAATTCTCTTAAGAAACGTTATGTCAATGTCAAGAAAAAAAAAAGATATATGTTGCTGCTTGTTAGGTGAGCTTGCAGCTTAAGGAGGGTCCAAACGAAGTGGTTTTCAGCGTGACCACACAGTATCAGGGCACGTGTCGTTGCCATGGCACCATTTACCTTTGGAACTGGGATGACAAGCTGGTCATCTCCGACATCGATGGGACCATCACCAGGTCAGACCAACTACAGTACTTCAATTGCAGTTCTTCGCCCACTAGATGTCAGCCTTTGAAAGAAGTTGAAAGATGTCTGCCATGACAGGTCAGACACACTGGGCCACATCCTCCCCACGCTGGGAAAAGACTGGACCCACCAGGGCATCGCGAGACTCTATCACAAAGTCAGCCAGTGAGTGTGACCTTTGAGCCATTTTTCATATGTATGTCGTATTCATAACACAAGTATGTTTCAGAAATGGATATAAATTCATGTACTGCTCGGCGAGGGCCATCGGTATGGCGGACATGACCCGAGGTTACCTGCACTGGGTCAACGAAAGGGGAACTATGCTGCCGATGGGCCCGGTGATGCTCAGCCCCAGCAGCCTGTTTTCTGCATTGCACAGGTCGGTGCCACTCCTTTTGCACACAAACGCATTGGTCACACTATTAGGTACTCCTGCAAAATGTAATGACATCCAGTACAAGAGCTGGATGAAACATTACGTTGTGATGGGTTCGCTACCATTGAAAGGACAGCTAGCAGCAGTGATGTGGGGCGGGGTTCAAGGTTGGTGAGGTACCGAGTCATATTTACAAATTTACGGTGTAAGGCATTGAATTTGCCATTAAAATAGCAGCCTGGCATTAATTAATCTCCAGACAGCAAATCAATGTTTGGCTTTCAAATTTTAGAATGCACTGACTGCAACTTCCCCTTCATTTTCTTCACAACCACACTAGCAAGTAGGTTTCGTCACCTGGATCAACTCTGGTCATGTGTCGTAAGATGATGGACATGTCCGTTGGGGAGCAGAGTCAGAGGGGAATCGACTTGAACGACTGAAAGAAAAGATATTTTCCATTGTAATTTAATTTATTGAGATGCACCTCTATATACCGCATCAAACATTTGGAGGTTAGGACAGCGACAAAAAAAAAACTGTAAGGAGGCTACAAATACTGCACAGGGAAAAAAGGTAATGTTTTTTTGTTTTTTTTCAGGGAAGTGATTGAGAAAAAACCTGAGAAGTTCAAGATCGAGTGTCTCACTGACATTAAGCACCTTTTTTACCCCAATACTGAACCCTTCTACGCTGCTTTCGGCAACAGAGCTACAGTGAGATCACACACGCACTAGCACACACACTTACACAATCAAATGCATTTTTTAAGCTCTTCCATGTGTATGTGTTTGTGTATGCGCATGATCCCAGGATGTGTATTCCTACAAGGAGGTGGGCGTTCCTCTCAACAGGATCTTCACTGTCAATCCAAAGGGGGAAGTAATACAGGAACATGCCAAAACCAACATCTCCTCGTAAGCTATAATGGCTCAACGGTCTTCTTATTGCCACACACTTCGTTCCGCTTTATATGTCTTCGTTGTCAACATCTGTCCAGTTACGGGCGCCTGTGCGAGATGGTCGACCACGTCTTTCCCGTCCTCCTCCAAAAACAAGGGACCGACTTTGCCAGTTCTGAAACTTTGAATGAGTGTGATTATTGGAGCAAGCAACAACCTGATGAATGCAACCAGGACAAGGAAGAAGAAGGCTCACAGATTCTGGAGAGCAGCTGAGCACACTGAAATCTATCTTTCACGAGTGAGGATGAGACTGAAACCAAACTGATGTAGAATGTGATTTAACACTGTGCCGTTATTCAACAACAATCCAATAAGCTCACTGTTAGGCGTCTGTAAAAATAGGAAGCCGTTAAGTAGAAGAAAACCTCATAACTTCAGGATACCTCAAAAATAGCACAACACGAACAAATAATGGAGAATGACAGCATGTTGTACAAAGACACGTTTACTGACTCACCCACACAAAAAGCACAGCTAGCAGTTAACTACTCCGCCGACATACCTTACATTTCATTTGAATGAGTACTTTAACCCATATTATAGATCATTAATAGTTGTATCGTAGTATTCAAATTATAACTGCAGTACCTTATTTTAAAGTCCCTGTAAAGTGACAATAAATGTCTTCTAAATTCGACATCACAGAGAACAGTGTTGTGAATAACCCTGCCAAATTTGAATGAATTATTAAAAACGGCAAGTAGAAAAATGAGGCTTGAAAGTCACATAAAATCAAGCCTTTCTCACAGCTCTCAAACACTGTGGGCATGTCCGATGAATGCATTGAAAACAGGTCCCGTTCAACTGTCAGATGTTTTTACATACTGAGGGCGTGTCCGGTGATAATCTTCAAATGTGCAAAATTTGAAATCTTTGAATTCACTTGACGGGGTCTTTAACTACACGATAGGACAAAACACAAGATACATCTCTCAATATAACCATAGGAATAAACATACTATTTGAAGAATATATCTCTGATAGTGTCCATGAAAACAGAGAGCATTATTAGTGTCTCATGAGAGTGTATCTAATGACGTGTCACACCTCAAACTAAAAGACCGAGGTCACCTCTGACATGTCCCCTCGGTTCACTCATGCAGTCCGATAAACATGTTTGGTCACGTGACCACACTACTGTGAAACTGATACACACGCAGGACAATGCAATTGGTGACATGGAGTAATGTGCACTTTTGTACACGATATGTTACTGTCATTATTACTATCAATGCAACTTCTTATGGCAGGACTCATTCACTACTATGTGAATTTTATTTTTTATTTTTTTTAATTATTTGTTGCATTGCATATATTGAGATGCATGCATGTTCACTCACACCTCACTGGGAAAGCCACCGTCTATAGGTAAAAACGTTCTATACAAATGATATTGCTAATGGTCGGTGCTCACTAAAGCAATAGAATTAGAGTAAAATTCTTTGGGAGGCCGTTGTTTTAAGTCATGTACACTTGTTGTAATAACTTATATGCAACAAATTCCCACTCGGAATGCAAATTGAATGTTTCTGAATCATTTATGGTCATGTGTTTAGTATTTTACCGCAATTATGTTCACAAAATTGACTTTTTACAACTACTGATCAATAACTGTACTCGTGTATAGCGTGTGTGCGTGTGCACGAGTGTGTGTGTGTGTGTGTGTGTGTGTGTGTGTGTGTGTGTGTGTGTGCCATTCTTATTGTAACATTGCTAAGCATCATCGTATTATAAGACAGTAGCAGCATCACTCACTGGTCTTCTCATTTCTCTTAATAAGTGCATTGTTTTTCCTCATCGCTAGAATTATTTTGTGTGTGTGTGTGTGTGTGTGTGTGTGTGTGTGTGTGTGTAATTATTATGGAGTAATATTTATAACACATCCAATGCAATCCACTTCTCAAGATTTTTAGTGAGCATTTTTATGATCGTTTAATTCTTTCTGTGAAAGATGTAATAAAATTGTTGACAAGTTCATGTTTGTGTAACTGTTTTCTGTTGACTACAGAGAATACGGATGTGGCGTATGTTTTGCATTGGGGGGGGGCAGCCTCGAGAAGGTGAAGATGAGAAGAATATACAATCAATATGCAGAGTGTGAAAAATTATTTCAATATGCTATAATTAGAGCATTTCAGTAAAGCTGTGTGAGAGGATTTCAGTTATGTGAAAGGTCATCCTGAATTATGCCCATGACATCCCTCATCTGAATTATTACCTTTGCTTTACAGAAGAAAAGAGTGTTTTAATGTTTTTTTTCCTGTCTTAATATTAACAGTTATTAACTAAATTGAAATGTGTATGACAGTTAAGAACGCTTAAAAATGAAGTGAACATCTCCACACTGTAAAAACATTTGTGTCATTCACAACACAATTTAGTTTCATTTTTGCATTGTAAATTGCTTATGTCAACACATATTTATTTTGAGTGACTGTAAAAATGTTATTTGAAACATTACCTGAACGTTATAATGGCAACAGGTTCATCGAATATTCCTGTTTCCGCGATTTACTGTGGCAACTAGTTCACACGACTCTCATTATACACTTTCATGAGTAACCTTTAGCCAGAGTACTTGAGTAATTTTTACTATTAAATTCTGCCCAAAATAGAATAATCTCTCAAATATACAGTATAAATTTCAACTGAAATAATCCAGAAATCACCAAAAACAAAAACTACTTCGGCAGTTCCAGGGACCACACGCCCTGCTGCAATATGATAGACTGCTGCATCCAGGCAGTACGCGCCCTTGGCTCAGCAGATGAAATCAGATGAAAGTACGTACGTCTCACGTTTGTACAAAATAAAAACAATCAAGTTGGTTTATGTCAGTGTAGAGGTAATTCATAACACCGCCACAATGCAAAAAAAAACCCAAAAAAACTCACATTGTACTGCTTGGATCCATCAGCCAATCATATTGCAGCGGGGCGTGTCCCGCCTTCAGCTCAGTGTGACGTGATCCACGATGAAGCGTCGAGAAATAATATTTCTGCAAAGGATACATAAGTGGCCCCTCGATTTAAACTAGTCTCGAACCTCATTCAAGACAGCCGAGAAAGAAGCTCCCGAATATAGCGGCATGAAACCAACTTGCTGGTCGTGTTCGAAGCTTTGAGATCGACCCTGTGAGTACGAAGGATTGTTTGTCAACGGAGGTCTTGCACGCTACGATGGGCTTGCCATTCTATGGCCGCTCGCCCAAAATCAGCTCCAGCTATCGGTCAACTAGTATAAGTACTACAAAATAGAAAATAATTAAAATATTATAGAATATCAAATAACATTCAGGAGATGCTTAACCTGTGTGACACATGTTTGTGATTAGAGCCACTCCGCTAACTTCGGTGGAGCTCCCTTCTTATTTTGTCATCGACGTGTTGCACTCACGTCAAAAAATTTTCGCCCCTTGTGCTACTGAATCCAAACTAGCTACTACACAACACAAGAGTCACGCTTTTAAACAGAAAACCGGAATACTTGAGTACATTTTCCTTCCTTGTTATTTGAGATCATGACATGACTTTCCTGACACACACGAACACACACACACTGCCCCTAAGTGGACTGAATGAGTAGGAGTGACGAAAAGGCAGAATTCTTGTTTTGCAGCTCTGGAAAAAAACAGTATATATATTTTTTTTTTTACTACGACTCCCACACTATGCTTTTCTATTTTGATTAGTCTCTTTTTGGGGGTGGTGGGGCGTCTTTTTTTAACTGCAGTAAAGGATATTTGGAGATTACAGGATTTTAACACAAATTTAGAAAGTTAAAATGACTGTCTTGTTGTTTTATTCATCTTGACCACTCGTGACAAAGCTGGGAGTTGCGTGTCTTTTCATGAAAAACATGTGTGAATACTTTCGGATTGTTGACATAGTTGTGCAGTTAGGCAAGCGATGTATAACTAAGGCCCCGGAAATAAAGGTTTTTCAGCTGTCCAGAACAAAACCGGACTGAAGACTTCCTGGAAGCACCAAGGGCTGAATTACCACTTTTGCGCATTAGTCATTTCTTTCACTACTATTATTGTGCATTCACCAACCCCGACACGATGCAATGTACGCTGACACATAAATATATAATATTAATAACACAAACACAGACACACAAATATGTTTTTTCCCCCCAATTTCCCTCTACACTCCTCACAGTCAAGCAGTCCGCAGACTACAGGTTGACTGCGATCAACTGGTTGGGCACTCCTGATTTAACTTGTGTGACAATTATTGAACAGTTTTCACTCCCTTCTTTCCTACTAGCTGACTTGTATGTTCATGTTTGTTTTAGAACATGTCTGTGGCGCTTTTATCTCTGAGCCAAACTCGTGGAAACAATGATGCTCCCCAAGACACCACGGTGGGAGGAGCTAAACCTCTACATCGGTTCATCAATGCTCAACCGCAGCTTATTGGGGTTAGACATCACACAGTTACACCACTTACAGTGATAGCCAGTCATGAACAAATTATTATGGCTTCTACTAAAGTTTGTGACTGTTTTGGAAGCTCAACATACATACTGCATTTAATCCAGGGATCCTCAAGTCCGGTCATCGGGAGCCTGTTTTAGATATTAACTTCACTCCAGCACACATAATTTAAACGAGGGATTGTTAACTTGTGCAAAGCGTGCGGATGAGCTGATCATTTGAATCAAGGACCGGACTTGGAGATCCCTGACCTCGCCTGTAAAACTTTTTCTGAACTAAAACTCTTGTTTTTTTTTGTTCACATTTGACTATAACTACACTTCCAGATTGCCGTGCTTATCATGGGAGTATCATTCGTCATTACCACCATTGTTATGGCAGAACAAATTCATTATTCCCATGTATTTAAAACCATCCCACCAGGGTACGTGATTGGAGCACTGGTGAGTCCACACAAAGTGTTTGATTGTACTGTTTGCATGGACAACAAGGCAGGTACGTTCATAAACACAGTTTCTTTCTCTTGCAGTTCATAATATGTGGGATTCTGTTTATTATAACGGAACACAACCCAACCAAACGAACAGTAAGTATCATTTGCAATATTTCAAAGATGCATTTCAAGGTAGTGGAATCATTTTTTTTTTTCCCCCACATTTAGGTGACTGTATCCTTGGCTCTAAGCATCGTGGCCATACTGGCGTCAGTGTGGACTGCCATTATTGTCATTCCCGAAATGGAACACTTTGATTATTATTACAGCCCCGATGAGTTTGTTGAAGTCGACAACATGACATCCCAGGAGGAAGAAAGAAGTTTGCGGGCGAAGACTGATGTAAATACAGTTTATATTATACAGTACAAGGTTGAGCTTTTAGTTGTATCACTGTATGTATTGCAACGCACCGATACTTGTAATACCAAATGTAACTCAATACACTGTAGGAACGGGCACCTGAAATGCTGGATGGGGCAACAGTTATTAATCAGTCCCACGGGGGGCATACACATAGTAGCATGCACTTTCTAACCCAATGTTTGACAAAAATGCCATTTTGAATCTGGACAAAAGACGTGCATACGTGCAAAATACGTGCTACTAATATATTTCATTTTTCATAATACATTTCTCGATGCATGTATAAAAGATCTTCTATCCTAACCCAACACCAAAGGGTTTGAAGCAAACAACAAAATAACCACATGCTGTGAATTGTTTTCCCCCCAGTGCAAAGGGCTCTCTTGCATAAAAGCTACCACTCAAGGACAGCACAAAACTGCTGAACATCAAATAAACCCGCATTTGCATTTTTTCCCCCCACGAAAATCAACGTACTCAAAATTTCAATATTATTGAAGGACTACGTTTGTCCTGTAGATCATCCCAAGTTCGCCCCCAAAAAAAAAGATATCCACGTTGGAGCATGTGGCGCTATGAGACCTGGTGCTAGCGTAACTCACATGGTTTTACATGCGCCTTATGCAGCTCATTGCTCGCGGTCGCTAGCATGTAATTCAATTTTTGTTTGTGAACCTTTCAACATTTTTGAATGAATACGGTGAAAAATGGGCACACTCACTGCTGCAGGACGTCACACATAAAGCTGCAAAGGTGTGAATCGCAATAGATTTCCCCGTGACGTCAAGAGAAACAAAATAGGGGCCGAGGTGTGTTGCCAGGATGGTTGGAAACTGAATGACATCTCATATCTTGGTGACGTAAGTTTATTATGTCTATCTGTTTTCAGATTGTCAAACTGACATTGTCCATGGTCTTCATGTGCTATGTCTTTGTCGGTTTGATTATTTTCATCGTAATGTCATCGCTGGCCACAGCAGCCATACGTTCCACTCGCAGCCAGGTATGCCCACAAAACCCTGGACGTGATTTCATGATGATGTCACGCAGTAAGGTTTCTTCTTTTCTCCTCAGGCCATTGTTGTCATGTCCAGAACAGCCAACACAGCACCTACTGAGTTACAAGATGAACAGTCACATTAGTGGGTACAAATTTATAGACATTACGACTTGACCTTGGAATTAAGCTTCAATTTGGCGTGTTGTTGTGTTTTTACATCACACAATATGATCAAAGTGTCACATATGGTGGTGGTGGAGGACCCCAAAAAGCAGGCAGGAAGGAGGAGCAGGGTGTACTTGACAAATTGTATTGATAAAAACACAGAAAACTAAATCCAAAACAAACAAAGTCCTAAGAACAAAAAGAATCCAAAGTATCAAACAAAATCCATGGCTGAAGCTAAAAAACTAACAGTGACCGAAACATGACAGACAAACAATGACAGCAAACAAACACTGGTCGTGCCGGGAGTCCTTTTATACAACTAATGACGTAATGACCAACAGGTGTGCCGCTGCAGGTGAAGCCCTACAGTGCCACCTGTTGGTCACAAACAGAACCGTGCCAAAAAGTTATCCGAAAATTATCCTTGTATCATTAATAAAAACATATAATGGACACGAAGATCACTTTTGGTATATAAAGTGCAAATGAATACTCTTTTTGACAACGCTGTTACAATCAAAAGTAAAAACTGACTTGTATAAATGAAAAAGTCATTCATTGGAATGGTCGCCTTAATTAATGATGTATAATCCATCCTGTACCTTGTGCTAAGTGACATATCAGCGTTCCGCATTTTAAATCCTAACCACTATGTCACAGATGTTTAAGCGTCTCTTTATGGGTTTTACAGTACAAATGTAGAGTAGAGTTGTGAACCGTCAATGTAGTGCCAAATTATACCAACAACATGCCGGGCAGCACTGAGGTCGACTGGAAGGCACGCAGCGCTATTCACAGCAATAAAAAGAGGTTTGTCATTCATAATAAATGCCTGTGAATATTGTTGGATGATCTGGATGTCTTGTTTGCTGTGTCTGTGTTTAAGTCGCAGTTTAGCAGCCATATGTTAGCATGACGCTTGGGGACTTTAGTTTATCACAGATTGAACATGTTGAACTATCGGATGTTTGCTTGTCTTTTGTTTTATGTCAGTTTTCCATTAAAATTTGACTGGGAATGACAAATAAACAGCCAGAAGCAAGCAACATATTTCCTCTCATTTTTGAGAGTGGTTCCAAAGGAATACATTAAAAAGTGTGTTTTATTCCATTTAAATGTGTTAAGAGCATGTAGGAAAGGCAAAACTGTTTAAAAAAATTTTGTTGCAGCTGCAGTTATGAAAAGCTTCCTATAAATCAGATTAAATTCAGCTGAGGCAATGACAAAACAGTTGCACATGGAAATACAACACATACACAAGAGATGCTGATTATTAAATGTATTGATACGTGCAGATTGCTACAGACGTGTTTGGCTCGTCTTTGACCAACAAATGGAAAAAGCAGATATTATTGTGGGCCAGCTAGCAGGCCCTGTGAGGACAAATTCAAATCTAATTGGTTAAAGAAATAGTACCAATGCTAATATAGTTTTAAATTGCATCGATCATCCCTACTGATTTTGAACGCTCTGACAGATTAGAGTGACAAGGCAACACATGGAGGCTAAAATCTGATTGGGCAAAACAATCTAACTTCCACGCAGACGTATTGGAAGCAGTGGAGAAATCATCAATAATAAATCAAATAAATAACAATGTCATCTTGTAATAGTGAAGTTAAACAGTACAGAGACCGAAGTCCGCCAACTGAGGATGCTTAGCACTAAACAAACCAACAAAAGAGTCCTCTTTGTGTTGCGCATCAAATCGAGGAGACAGAAGACTTGCTAAAGTCACTCGGGAGGTCGCTGCAGCGCTGGTGTACGCGCATGTGCTCCGTCACGCGGTACTGGCGGGAAAAGGTCATCGGGCACCTCGGACAGGGGAAGGGCCTTACCCCCAGGTGAGTGCGCATGTGTCTGTTCAAGGTGCCGCGCTGGCTGAAGGAGCGCGTGCACAACGAACACTGAAACGGGTGGCGGCGGGGCCGCGGCGGGCTGGGCGTGGACGTTGACGCTTGAATGTGATTGTGCATGGTGGGAGCTGTGTAGGCCTCTTTACACCTCACATGTTGTTCCCTCACCGCTAAATGCCCATTAGCATCATGAGATGAAGCCCCAGCGCGATCTTTGTTTGTGTGACTGTGATCAATTACAGACACTGTTTCTTGTACCAATGTCTCGCCCAGAAGAAGAAGACCGGATGTTTGGTTTACAGGTTCGAAACCGCTGGAGACCCCGGTCTCTTCTTCATCACCGCACTGCTCTGATGAACTGGATGTGGGATGATGAAGGCCTCCTTGGTAAGACATCTCCTCAGGATGAAGCACGTTGTTGTCACTTAGGTGTGGATGTGTGACTTCAGTGTACCCGTTGTTGGCGAGCGGCTCACGTCGCGACTGCTTGGATTCCTCCTGCTGCTGTGTTCTTGTCTCGGCAAGTCCACAATTGTCTTCCAGGTTCTCCCTGTCATGTTCACCCTTTCTTCCACTCTGATTTTCACAGTATCCCCGTGCATAGAAGTCTTTCGCAAGAGGTATTTCCTGTGAGTCATCGATACAATGCTTGCGTCTGCACTGGTGAGTCTCCTCCCAAGAAGCCACTTGGAGGCCCGATGGCAAAGTTGCAGATCTGCCGCTGTGACGTATGACCGGTACTGCCCCACTGCACAGAGAAGAGGAAGATAAAGAACCGACGTCCACATTGGCTGTAAATTGGAGCACATGTTTTTGGTCTTCTTGTGCTCGTAGCCACTTCTCTGTGTTTGTGCTTGACAAATCAGCGGTGTATGTTACATTGCGATCTAACTCCTGAGGAAAAAGACTTTCGCAAGTCCTCAAAGGTTCACGAGAGGCTCTGTTTGCGTCATTCCCTTCCATCGGTGGAGTGTTCATTAGAACTTCCCGCAGTTGCTCCATCTCCAAGAGGTGGGCAGCAGCAAGTAGATCGCAGTACTGTTGCCAACTCTGAGCGGGAGGCAGAACTCCCGTATAAATAAAGTCCAACACAAGCTCCAGGACCGAGTGGGCCAGACACGGAGCCTGGAGATCCACCAAGGAACCTGTCGTGGAGAGGATACTGGCCAGAACTGGACTGGAGGCAGCCAGAATACATCTGATGGAGATAAAAGTAAACGTAGGAGGTGATGTAAAACAAAAAATACATGTTTTAGATTTGTGCACTAAGAATAAATTATCTGTTTTGGGTCATTCACTCAAGTGCAGTCATAAATAAATCTGTTTGAATTCTAAGAAACTGGTACAATGCCCTCCACTATTATTCGCACCTCTGATTGAGAGGCTTTTACCTTAAAATAAATTACATTTTTATTGTGGAAGCATATTCTTACACTGACAGTTATCGAAATGGTTCACCAGAGAATCACGCTCGAGCATTATATTCCAAAGGATTGAGTTTTAGTAGTCTACGACTTACTTGTGTGCTGGATAGAGATGAGCAGGGTCCTCTCGCTGTCTGAGCACGCAGTCACACAAGTTCGCTTGTTCTCGTTGGTGGTTCAGACTCGCCAGCAACGAAGCTGCATGGCGACCCACGTCCTTCATATAAACATTACGCTGAGTGTCGATAAAAGAATGTATTCTAGCACTTGCATTTAAACCTTCTATATTGATTCATCTTGGTCTCATTTTAATAAATCATAAAAACCTGGCATTTGGAGATAGCTGTGAAGTCTTAATTCATTTCTACCATCATAGCAGTTCTACAACACTGCATAACAAAGTGCTGTAATAAACATTGTTAGCAGGGTCATTCAATTATGTATATTACAGTATATGTTTTTTAATTCTTTGCCTCATCATAGTTTGTCCAGTTGTACCTAATAAAATGGCCTTTGAGTGTTATTCATACACAGCACATACTAATTCATAGACTAATGCGTACTGTAGTTAATAAGAACCTGGTTAAACAACAAGAAGAGGGAAGTGGAAAGAGGATGCCCATAAGTGTATACCCTCTTTCAATCTAATCACTTTCATTCCAAAATCAATGTATCATATTAGGTAGAAACAAGTGAAACTTGCTTCACTGAACTACGGTTAAGACGTTCTCTCTTACCTCCATGTCGTAATGAAGAAAGGAGTTTATCCTGTGTGCGCACAGTGAGCTGAATGGAGCTAGAATCCATGGAGTAGGATTTATAGCCGGTGTACTATCTACGCACATGCTCCCCTTCGGAAAGCGATCACAAGCTTTTCGGTCTGGACCTTGGTGTGACGTAGAGGAACAGGTGCATATATGGAGAGTGGGCTTCTGACGTGACCATTTCCATGGCTCCGTATGGAGGGTCCAACAAGCTCGGCCCACTAGGTACCAACCACTGAGCACAGAGTTGTAACGAATAGAGCTTCACGTATTTGGGACAACAACTTGTTTGTGTGTTTTGAGTCCTTTTTAGCGGCAGAGGGGAACTGATAGAGATGTAACTTCCAAACTACCGCTGTTGCCATACAACAATTGTGTAAACAAACAAGTACATGTGGTTACATCGTTGAACACACACTATGTGTTGTAGGTCTACAAATGAAATGCCCCCCGCCACGCTGATAGTGTTGTCAGCTTCAAATCTAGACCTCTCTCCACCCCCCTCACGTGCTCGCTACACCCCTTCAGCCCCCCCGCCCCCCTTCCCATCCCATCTAGCGTTACTACAACACAGTACATTTTTTCCTGGCTTGTGACCGGAGGAAATATGTGATTGACACGCATCGTGAGCCATTTAAATAGAGGCCGGGACAAATCAGGCTCCCTGAACTAATTATACCTACTGTAAAAGTAATTGGTGATACGATACGTGACTGGAAAACAATGTGACAGTGTATTCCTATTGGATACACTGAATTTACAGACGACTGTCGGCCACGTCCGCCGTCCAGTTGTAGGGAGTAGAAAAAAGGTCGCGCTTCTGTTTGGATCCCATTCAAATGTTGAGTATTAATAACAGTGCTGGAGATCTCCGAATGGGATCCCTTTATTCATTTCAATGAGGGTCCAATATGTTTTCCTTCAAAGACTCGATGTCAATTAAATGTTTTTTTTTTCGTTGAAGTTTTTACCAAGATTTCAAAAGGCGAGCAATGAACTAAAACACGTTCAGTTATTGCTGTACATAAAGTTCATCACGTAATTGTTTTAGATGTACGGTATGGCCCTGGAAGTATTTTTCATACAAATATTTACCGCAATTAATTTACTTCTGCATTATCAAAGGTTTAGTGATAGAATATGGTGCATTCCGACATGCATACAAATTCTCACAGTTCAGAGGTCCAGGGTTCAATTCCGAGCTCCAGCCTTTCTGTGTGGGGTTTGCATGTTCTCCTCATGCCTGTGTGGGTTTCCTCCCACATTCCAAAAACATGCATGGTAGGTTGGTTGAGCACTCTAAATTGTCCATAGGTGTGATTGTGAGCGCGAATGGTTGCTCGTCTATATGTGTACTGCGATTGGCTGGCAAACAGTTCAGGGTGTACCCTAAAGACACCTAGGATAGGCTCAGCACACCTGCGACCCTCGTGAGGATAAGCGGCTCGGAAAATGGATGGATGTATTAGAGTTATATTCCGGTACTCTTGACAGTGAGTCGGGCCCTAGACAAATACAACAGAAGGAAAAAACACAATTAAATCCATGTTTCAACCCCAGACTTTACTTCAGGTTAGACATGAACAGGTACCAAAGATTTTTTTTTCTCCCCAAGCTCAAACCTCAGTGATTTGATTGGAAACAATGCTTTGTTAAGATTTCATTAAAAGAAAATACAAAATAGAAAAGTTCAGATCGTGTTTTACATTAAAATCTGCAGGCAACAAAGACATTTACCGTTACATGACTTTTTTAAATGTATTTCTTTCAACACAAATTCTCAACATATTGAGACTGTCTCTTTTCGTTTTAACGTGGGACATCCACAAATTTTCAGACCAAAGTGAACATGGCTGTCGTCAGCTCATGAGTGTCACGCAGAACTTAATGATACACATTGCCATTTTGCTCTTTTTGTACATTTATGCTCATAAGAGAAGACGAACATGATTATCTAATGTGACAATAATGTGACCTGCCTGGTAGAAAAGTAAAAAACAAACAAACAAACAAACAAATTACACGTGCTGTTAAAAAGCAATGATTACAAGATAAAGTAGCTCGATGAGTAATGCCATCATGAAAGATTAGAAGCTTCTCTAATGTGCAACAACAATTAAGTGAGGAAAATGATCAAAGTGATCAAAATGTTTGCATCTGTTGAGTCATAAATTAAGAAACAATTAAACAACATTTTCTGAGTCATCTGAGCCAGCCAGACGACTCGTGCAAATAAAAACAAGAAGGAATCTACAATGCTTTACCTCATGATGTGAACTTTTGATAATACTGCTTTAATCTAAGACGATTCATAATGCATATAAGACACGGCATGGAAGCGCCTCTGATGTGTGAAAACTATAACTTTACAGTATTTTATATTTTCAGCCTGTTTGCGGGCATCCGACACAACATGCAACAGGACATGTATAGATACCGGATGCAGAAACGCTTTAATAATCAAAATTGAATGTTGAAGAAAAGCTCTCCACCCAAAGGGTAAAGAAACTTTCAAATTTGGGGAAACAAAACAGCAGTGGCTCTCGACAATGAGGATGCTCCCCAGAAATCCTGAGATGCAAAGACCCAACTGGGCAGACACAATGCTACATAACATCACACAGATATTGAATAAGTATTAGTTGCAAGAGGTCTCTAGTCTGAGGATAATATTGCAATATTACAACAACATAACAAATCGTACCAGTCATGTTAAACATTCCTGTAGCTGTAAGTTTTAGATCAGTTTATAAAAGTACAAGTGGAACACACTGCCAAGTGGTCGAACAATGCATAGCTGAAGAACAGTGTCATTTGCCGTAAATTGTCTGTGGTCCGGCAACAGCTCAATTTCGATTAAAAAGAAAACTTGAAGATTGCGTAAATGCCTTACATATGACTGAAAACATTCATTCAGCGTGTTAAGACATGATTAAGATTTTAGCAATGCACGATTTTTTTTTTCATTTGTGATTAGACAAAAAAAATACAAGTTCATAAAAGCAACCCTGGAGGTTGCAACGGTTTGCAAAATGCCCATGAGGCCGTTATTTGTGCAGCATGTGTAGAGAGCACGTTGGAGCCCTCCGGTTAAAACCTTTTTTTTTCCCCCTTAAAACACCTGACTGCAGTGTCAGTTGTTATTCCTGTGATCTTGAGTGAGGCCAGTGAGAAGTATGGATCCAGTCTTGGTAGATTTCTTAACTCTGGGGGTCCTGACATGTCCCCACTTCTCTCATTTCCTGGATGACACTGACCTGTACGAAGTAGATTGTTGTCTGTCCCTTTTTTGACGAGCCGTTATGTCGAACTCGGGCCTAACCACTGATGGATCTGAGCTACTGCGCGTTGCACCTGTCCAAAGTAAAAGTCCACATTTCTGGAAAAGTCCTGGCATACAGAGGAGTGCACGTCACCCAGAGCACAGTAAAGGGTGGTGCCGCCCATGCTGATCACCACAGTAACCAGACAAAGCAGAAAGAGTAGCAGGCAGGAGTCTCTGCCACCAACATCTGCAAAAACAGAGTTTAAAATTAATTACTTAATAAAGGGTAGGCAAATGGCCATCCCATCCATCCATTTTCTGTACCATAGCTGAGTCTATCCTAAGCCTTCTCTTGGCAAAATATGGACTAAACTCTGGACTGGTCTCCAGTCAATCACTGGGCTGATACAGAGACAGACAAGCACTCTCAAGCCACTCAGCGGGAACTGAACCCACACTGAAGTCAGCCAGGTAGACTGATGACTGGTGATTCATGCATTTCAGGTATATGAGAAAATATCATGGCGAGAAACCAGAAACTCACCACTATCAAAGCCATCATCTGCTACTTTGAAGCGGACCCGTCTTTTGGTCGTGGGTTTGTTGGACCTGGACTCCGGACTAGCAGACATACTAAAATTGTCGGTAGGCATATTCCTCTTCTTCAAGATGGAGATGAGGCCAGAGGCAGGAGATATCTGGGAGAGCACAGAATAAAGAACAGAATATGATGAAAACCATCTCCATCGCTTTCTTTATTAAAGACTCGGCTTTGGACTCAATACTAGGTGCCAGTGCATGGCACAGTAAGCAGAACCGAACTCTGAACTACATCCTCCACCCTCCCTCCAAAACATTTCTTACGCTGCAGTCGGCAGTACATGCCCCAAACAATCAATAAATGGCGAGTCAGCACTAATGGATGCCGATCTCTGTTGCCTTTGTTTCGACAACAGTAGCAGCATAGATCTCAAAATAATGTCTGGGTTGTTATGTTGATAGGGGGAAAAAGGTACACAAAAAATGGCTGTCAACAATCTCTGGGACTGACAAAAAAATGAAGCATATTTAAATCAGACTGTGAAGATAAGACATGACAACATACCGTACGCCAGTGGCTCTTCACATTCAGTAATATACAATTACAGAGAGCAACTCGAGACCAATGGTGTGCATGGCACATCCCAAACAATCAATAAATGGCAACTCGGCACTAACTGAAGACCCTTCTCTAATTCAGCTGCCGTTGTAGGGCACGTTAGCACGTTTGCTAATGCTGACAATTGAAACCGATGTATCAATTATGTTCAGAGAGACGCTAAATTAGCTTTGATGGGCAACGTGACACGAGCAGGGTATGGCAATAATGTTGTTGTGCGGCCTATGAAAATCACAATGAACATGTGGGGTCAAAGGCTGAACTATTAAGTAAGCGCGAAGGTGTACAGACCTCCTCGACAGTGATGAGTTTTGCCATGTCGTCCAGTGTGATCGCTTCTGGGAAGAAATCAGCCCGCTCAGCCTCGTATTCGTCCTCCTCCTCCTCCTCTTCCTCGCTGCCCCGCTTGGGGTGTTTCAGAAAAGCCTCTTGAGGAAGGTGGGCATCATCATCATCCTTCTGCAGGCTGCTTTTATTTCCTCCCTGCAGCCGAGACGGAACGCAGCGCTTTACAGAGTACACATCCATATTCAGGAAACAGCAACAGATGTTCCAGTCCTACTAGCTTTGCGCTAACAGTTTGGGGACAGATTTTCCTTTAGTGGCAAGTGCAACAAAGAGGCACTTGAAAAGTTCAACAGGTCAGACCAAATCTACCGCCAAAAGAAATATAAAACTTGACTGTAAAATACTGACATTAAAAAATGTGAATAGCAAAACCACTTTAACAAAATAGGATTTGTACCTTGATCTCTTGACAAATCTCTTCTTTTTCTGCCACTTGAGTTTCCTGGTGCAGATGTTCCACCTGCACATCTAACCCACTGACTGCTTTCGTCCCTCCCTCGCCCTCTTCTTCTTCAGTCTCATCTTCCATCATCAGCGGCTCTGCTGCCTCTCCTACATTGCTCCGCTCGCCTTCCCTATTCACCTCCTTTTCCTGTGTCGAACCTAAATCTCCACCCTGCTGCTCTGCGGGTTTGGTCTGATCCATTTGTCCAGCTTCAGAGGGGTGTAACACATCTCTCAGGGCTGGAGTGGTGTGTTCCGGACACTCCCCTTGCTCTCTGCCACTGGCCTCCTCCTCAGCCCGCTCAGTCCCATGGAAACCATCCGTCCCTTCTAAATTGCATTCAGGGGATTCCCTATCCTTTTTGTCGGGGTAATCGAGTCCATGTGACAGATGAATGGAGGGTGTGAGTAGATGGACGGTCTGTGGACAGGAGGAGTCTTCGGCTCTATTCTCCATCCTCCCTTCAGCGTGACGGGCTGAAGAAAAGGAGCCACAAATTAGGACGTTATAAAAGAATATAAATGTTTTACTACCGTTGACAGACAGGAAGTATATTGAAAACAAGTGGTGGATTCATTCTCTATAAAAATATTTACTTTTCTGTTCATGGGAGGGCATCCCAAATGGAGACACTCCCCTCCAAAAGTTTTAGAAGGGCAAGGTCAGTTCCTTTGATTTTGTTGTAAAATGAAGACAGTTGGGTTTTAAATGAAAAGATGTTCGGCCAAAGTTCAGAAATCCAGATTTTATTCACATTTAGATGTGTTCAACATTTCAGGACAGAGCGCCTTTTGTTTCAGGAGCACCTTCTGTTTGAAGCCACCCACAAGTGTTCGAACAGGTGACCGATGGATATTTCTAGTTGCTCAGGTATTACTTTTCGATTAATTGCTTAAACATTAGATAGTACTTCTTTTTGTCTTTGGGTTTCAGTTTTTTTTTTCCGCAAACAGGAAGACCAGAGAGCTGTCTATGGGAGAAAAGCAAACCATTTATAAGCGGAGAGAAGTGGGGGAAAAAAAATCAATCAGCAACAAACCTCTGTAAACATGGAGGAGCATTTTATGCGCGTGACAACTTTCTCTCTCTCCCACACTCGCTCACCTGATGGAGGTAATGCATCTCCTTGTTCAAGCAGGGGACTTAAGAAGCCCAGAGATGCAGACTGTAAACACATATATACAAACTCTTGAGCAAAAAAACTAACAAAAAATATCAACAATTGAATATGTTTTCTCCCCCTTTTATACACACACACACACACACACACACACACACACACACACACACACAAACACACACACAGACACACACAAACACACAGATTAAAAAAAAAAAAAAGTCTTACCGCTAAGCAGGCAGGAGTCTCTGCCACCAACATCTGCAAAAACAGAGTTTAAAATTAATTACTTAATAAAGGGTAGGCAAATGGCCATCCCATCCATCCATTTTCTGTACCATAGCTGAGTCTATCCTAAGCCTTCTCTTGGCAAAATATGGACTAAACTCTGGACTGGTCTCCAGTCAATCACTGGGCTGATACAGAGACAGACAAGCACTCTCAAGCCACTCAGCGGGAACTGAACCCACACTGAAGTCAGCCAGGTAGACTGATGACTGGTGATTCATGCATTTCAGGTATATGAGAAAATATCATGGCGAGAAACCAGAAACTCACCACTATCAAAGCCATCATCTGCTACTTTGAAGCGGACCCGTCTTTTGGTCGTGGGTTTGTTGGACCTGGACTCCGGACTAGCAGACATACTAAAATTGTCGGTAGGCATATTCCTCTTCTTCAAGATGGAGATGAGGCCAGAGGCAGGAGATATCTGGGAGAGCACAGAATAAAGAACAGAATATGATGAAAACCATCTCCATCGCTTTCTTTATTAAAGACTCGGCTTTGGACTCAATACTAGGTGCCAGTGCATGGCACAGTAAGCAGAACCGAACTCTGAACTACATCCTCCACCCTCCCTCCAAAACATTTCTTACGCTGCAGTCGGCAGTACATGCCCCAAACAATCAATAAATGGCGAGTCAGCACTAATGGATGCCGATCTCTGTTGCCTTTGTTTCGACAACAGTAGCAGCATAGATCTCAAAATAATGTCTGGGTTGTTATGTTGATAGGGGGAAAAAGGTACACAAAAAATGGCTGTCAACAATCTCTGGGACTGACAAAAAAATGAAGCATATTTAAATCAGACTGTGAAGATAAGACATGACAACATACCGTACGCCAGTGGCTCTTCACATTCAGTAATATACAATTACAGAGAGCAACTCGAGACCAATGGTGTGCATGGCACATCCCAAACAATCAATAAATGGCAACTCGGCACTAACTGAAGACCCTTCTCTAATTCAGCTGCCGTTGTAGGGCACGTTAGCACGTTTGCTAATGCTGACAATTGAAACCGATGTATCAATTATGTTCAGAGAGACGCTAAATTAGCTTTGATGGGCAACGTGACACGAGCAGGGTATGGCAATAATGTTGTTGTGCGGCCTATGAAAATCACAATGAACATGTGGGGTCAAAGGCTGAACTATTAAGTAAGCGCGAAGGTGTACAGACCTCCTCGACAGTGATGAGTTTTGCCATGTCGTCCAGTGTGATCGCTTCTGGGAAGAAATCAGCCCGCTCAGCCTCGTATTCGTCCTCCTCCTCCTCCTCTTCCTCGCTGCCCCGCTTGGGGTGTTTCAGAAAAGCCTCTTGAGGAAGGTGGGCATCATCATCATCCTTCTGCAGGCTGCTTTTATTTCCTCCCTGCAGCCGAGACGGAACGCAGCGCTTTACAGAGTACACATCCATATTCAGGAAACAGCAACAGATGTTCCAGTCCTACTAGCTTTGCGCTAACAGTTTGGGGACAGATTTTCCTTTAGTGGCAAGTGCAACAAAGAGGCACTTGAAAAGTTCAACAGGTCAGACCAAATCTACCGCCAAAAGAAATATAAAACTTGACTGTAAAATACTGACATTAAAAAATGTGAATAGCAAAACCACTTTAACAAAATAGGATTTGTACCTTGATCTCTTGACAAATCTCTTCTTTTTCTGCCACTTGAGTTTCCTGGTGCAGATGTTCCACCTGCACATCTAACCCACTGACTGCTTTCGTCCCTCCCTCGCCCTCTTCTTCTTCAGTCTCATCTTCCATCATCAGCGGCTCTGCTGCCTCTCCTACATTGCTCCGCTCGCCTTCCCTATTCACCTCCTTTTCCTGTGTCGAACCTAAATCTCCACCCTGCTGCTCTGCGGGTTTGGTCTGATCCATTTGTCCAGCTTCAGAGGGGTGTAACACATCTCTCAGGGCTGGAGTGGTGTGTTCCGGACACTCCCCTTGCTCTCTGCCACTGGCCTCCTCCTCAGCCCGCTCAGTCCCATGGAAACCATCCGTCCCTTCTAAATTGCATTCAGGGGATTCCCTATCCTTTTTGTCGGGGTAATCGAGTCCATGTGACAGATGAATGGAGGGTGTGAGTAGATGGACGGTCTGTGGACAGGAGGAGTCTTCGGCTCTATTCTCCATCCTCCCTTCAGCGTGACGGGCTGAAGAAAAGGAGCCACAAATTAGGACGTTATAAAAGAATATAAATGTTTTACTACCGTTGACAGACAGGAAGTATATTGAAAACAAGTGGTGGATTCATTCTCTATAAAAATATTTACTTTTCTGTTCATGGGAGGGCATCCCAAATGGAGACACTCCCCTCCAAAAGTTTTAGAAGGGCAAGGTCAGTTCCTTTGATTTTGTTGTAAAATGAAGACAGTTGGGTTTTAAATGAAAAGATGTTCGGCCAAAGTTCAGAAATCCAGATTTTATTCACATTTAGATGTGTTCAACATTTCAGGACAGAGCGCCTTTTGTTTCAGGAGCACCTTCTGTTTGAAGCCACCCACAAGTGTTCGAACAGGTGACCGATGGATATTTCTAGTTGCTCAGGTATTACTTTTCGATTAATTGCTTAAACATTAGATAGTACTTCTTTTTGTCTTTGGGTTTCAGTTTTTTTTTTCCGCAAACAGGAAGACCAGAGAGCTGTCTATGGGAGAAAAGCAAACCATTTATAAGCGGAGAGAAGTGGGGGAAAAAAAATCAATCAGCAACAAACCTCTGTAAACATGGAGGAGCATTTTATGCGCGTGACAACTTTCTCTCTCTCCCACACTCGCTCACCTGATGGAGGTAATGCATCTCCTTGTTCAAGCAGGGGACTTAAGAAGCCCAGAGATGCAGACTGTAAACACATATATACAAACTCTTGAGCAAAAAAACTAACAAAAAATATCAACAATTGAATATGTTTTCTCCCCCTTTTATACACACACACACACACACACACACACACACACACACACAAACACACACACAGACACACACAAACACACAGATTAAAAAAAAAAAAAAGTCTTACCGCTACATCTGATGCGTTTGGTCTATGACAAGAAGACAAATTAAGACATGTAAGATAGGTGATGCTTGAGTACTCTGCCAATCTAATATTAGCCCGAGCATATTTCCCAGGCTATTAGAATGTGTGCGTGCGTGTGTTTCTGAGCGTGTGACAGAGTCAAATGAGGTGAAACCTTAGCAGCACGACAGCTCAAATATCTGAAAGTGCACAAGTAGCAGTAGTATCTTTGAATCATCACTGCAATACTCGCCCCCGCATAAAGACAAACTCTGCATTTACGCGAGTATGAACGGAGTTTCAAGAAAATATAACACAAAAGGTGGCTGCACATGCAAGCATTACACTCCTCCCACCTTGTGTATTTATTTTTGGATATGCAGTCCTGTATATTTTTGCTTGACATGTTATTTCTTTATTAAGTTTTCTGGAACTGCGTGACTTGGAATACATTCGTCTGCCTGCCTGACAGTGTAAACACAAAGACACATACTGACCGGGTGTGTGTCTGGCAGATGTCTCTGAGAGTGTCCAGATGTCGGGCTTCTAGGCTAGGCGAACTTCTTGTACACCGACTTTCTATGAGGGAAAAAAAACAAAGACAGAAATATGATTACAATGAATAAATTGGTGAGACTTTAAATTTGGTCAGCTATCTAGATTGTTTGACTTTAAGTCAGCTCGCTGAACTAGGTTGTAATCGCCTAGATGAGCTGGGCTCAGTGTGATGTAAACTGACCAGGTTTCAGGACAGATGGAGACAGAAAGTAGGCAATCTATCTATCTGTGCCCCCCTAGCCCAAAGTCAGCTGAGATAGGCCACAAATCTTGTGAGGATAAGCGGTCCGGAGAATGATGGATGGAAAGACACTGTAATGTAATGTATTTGTCACTTCTTAGGTGACAAATAGATTAAAAAAAGTGCAGCATGAATATGGACGTGGTCTCTATATTGTTTCGTATTCAACTAAAGGTTTTTTTAACACCACTAGTCCTGCCTGCTAATAAACGTTCAGCGAAAAAAAAAAAAAGTAGCACGGGTTAGTGTAAATTACCCCACTGTTTCTGGAGAGCATTTAGGTTGTCCAACACTCTCTGGTGATACAGCCTCTCCAGTTGAATGCACTCTAAAGCCAACTGGTCTGAACAGCACAAGTTAAAGACGATACATAACGGCTCTAGAGATACAACATAGGCTGCATTCGTCGTCTTGTCTTCCTTGTCATAACTTGTGTCATGGCCTGGAGAAAAAAAAAAACAGAGGAACAAAGTGAAACGTGTCGAGGATGAAGTAGCGCTCATGTTTATGTATATGTGCGAGCAACCATAATACAATACTTCTTTGACTTGGCTCAATAACCCCTCTCTCACCAAACAGCCTTCTTTCTATACATGAAGAGATGCCGTGCGTCATGCAGGGCATGCTGTAGCTAGGCAAGCTCTGCCTTGTATCTTTCTTAAAATGCTTTGTTTTTTTTCCTCAGATGACATCTCCTTTTCCTGTTTTCTGACATCTCTCTAACGATGAATCGCACGTTCCCCTACTTTGACGGATTATATTGCGGCAGATGGTTCACTGGTTATGACTACAAGAACACTTTGCTTGAGTATTTGTTCAAATAAAGATAGGTTGACATCAAGACCAATAGTTTTGTCTGATGCTTTCTGCTGTGATTTATCAGTTATTTTTTCTCATTCCGGGCAAATGAATTTCAGTTAGCTGTGTGTACAATTTATAGTCAATCGGGGATGATAGTTTTTAGGACTTGCAGAGTACGATGTAGAAAAAAAAATCTGCGCACCACAAAAAAAAATAAATAAAAAAAAAAAGCCCGTGCCTAAACACATCAACACATACAATGATAAGGATACAATCTTCATGATGGACAGAGGCCTCGGCAATCTGCAGGGAGAGATAACAACCGTCAAATCATGTCACGCGTTAGTTATCATTTGTGAGAGAAGAATCACTCTGGAGGATGAAACTAGATTCAGCCAAAATGCAATGAAAATGAAAGAAAGCGGAAAAACATCAGGACAATAAGGAGATGCCACAAGGGAAACTCTACCTCTCGTCAGCCAGTGTCAGTGTCACTTTTATGTAGCTCGGCTGATTACAGAACAAGTGTGTATGTGTCTCAAGTGTAAGCGAGAGCAAGAGATGACACAAACAGCTCTCACATTTCAATTTAAAGGACCAGTACCTATTTAGAAGGATCTACTGTATTAGCAGAAGAAAAGAAGATTCGATCAAATCCGCATGTTAAATTAAAATAATGATAGACAGTACAAATAAGTCCATAATAATAGCTCTGACCTTAAAATGGCTCCAACCGATTGTTTTTGCCTATTAAACTGGTCTCTGCAGAGTATTGTGTGTGGGTCTGAAAGCGCTGCACACCTCATTAAGCTAATGACTGTACCTGCTGGCCTAGAAGCATCTATATTGTCACTGTCCTGTGAGAAAAACATGGACCTTTATGTCCATTTTCGTCATTGTAAAACATTTCATGTTAACGGGGTGTCCAAAACGCGGACATCCCATAACGTTTAAAAGAAAAAAGGACAAAAATGGACCTGTGTGTTTTTCACAAGGACAGCGACAATATGCAAAGATGAGCAAAACAAGAGGTACGCTCGAACTTTAACACATCCCCTACCACACTATCTCCAGCTCTTTTGAATAACCTCTTTTTAAAAGTGCTGCGTGTTCCCAAAATGCATGAAAGAAATTCTATGTCTCATTAAGAACGAGTCTTGCATACCTAAAACACATTCTTGCAGGTGTCTATTCTTAACGCATCAATAAAGCAAACTGAGAGAAATATTTTTCAACTCGGCGCACACATCTTGCCCAGCAGGTAGCAAACTCAACTATTTGAGAGTAATGATACCTGTGTATGCGTCTGAATACAGTGTTGCGTGGATGTTTTAAAATGACATCTCACCTAGGAGGTATAAGTAGATAATGTCTTTTTTTAAGGTGTAAGAATATTTGGGACATTTGGGGGCGAAATACAAGTTAAAAAAAAACTGGTTACCTGATGAAGGTCTTGTGGAAGGCAAGTATCATCTCCGCTCTTGGCCAACTGTTCCAGGGAAGCCATCAGAGTAGAGATGGGCCTTATGGTGGGCACTGAAGAGGAAGTATACGGATCTGTGTGTATAGGTGTCATTTGAGAAGTGGAGTGCGCACCAGTCGTTGTATGCCCTGTAGGGGCGGCAAAGGGCTGTGCTGTTTGGCTATTATATGCGTCGGAAGTAATGGGCTTCATGACGGATGTCGTCTCCAAGTGAAGGTCAGATAGACTAGGGCATGCGAGCCCTTCAAAGGGGGGAGAGGAAGCGGTAAGAGGTTCTGAAGTGGAGTGTGCATTTCTGGCAGTCGTTGCTGAGATATGTTCAGGTCCATCAGTGCAACTCAGGCCTGTGTCTGAAGTTAAAGATAGATGAGAAGACAGCACGGGCCCTGTGATGAAGGCATGTCCTGGTGTGCTGGACGCAAGCCCACCAAAGTCCACTTCACTCCGGCCCAGTTCCAACCGGCTGATGGGACATGATGTTTCCTGGAGGACAGGGGATGTAGGCTCTGGACTCGTCCCAGGACTGAAAGGATTCTCCAGCAGACTTCCTGCAGACGAAGAGGACATAAAATCAAGTGTAAGCGCATATTATTTTTATACTTTGCAGGTTTGGACAAAAGCACACGTAGTTTTACGTACGTGAAAACTGCAGGTTACAGAGAGAGTTGTGAAAAGTGTTCTTCATTTGTGTGTTTATAACTGCATTTTACTGCCCTCAAGTGTGGTCACTTGCACACACTCCAGAAGGAGCAGCACAATGGCAAGTAAAATGAGGCAAAAATGAATAAATAAATACATGTGTGGTGAACACTGTTTAATACTTTTGATTAATTTAAATTGTGTCATGACTGTAATGTTTTCATAAAGTACAACAATATAGAGTGCTATTTTTCACATTAAAAAGCACTTTACAAAAATACCTTCTTTTTTTTCTTTTTTTTTATTAGAGAATTTAGCTCAAACTGTAAAGAGTCCATGTGTGTCAATGTGAATGTGAGCGTTAATGGCTGTTTTGTGTTTGATTAGTGACCAGTCCAGGGTGTAACTCAATATTGAGCAGTGTCGTCAGAAATAACCGTTGACAATTCGTACTCGATAATTCTGAAGTGTTTACTTTTAAAAAGATAAGTGTTTTTGTCCATGTCATGTCACCTGCTTTCTGTACCTGTTTCTGAATAGGAGGAATCACTCATGGGTGTATCTGGAAACTGGCAGTGCATTTGGCAACTTGATGCCTCTGATTCCTCCTCTTCATCCTTCATCAGCTCATCAGTATCCTGTTCTTCTTCATTGCTTGCACTTTTGTGTCTCTCCAATTCCTCCTTGTTCTCCCCATTGTTGTTGAGAGATGCTTTCAAGGGGAGTCCAGCTCCGAAATCATTTTGTAGAGCTGACGTCTGTTCAATCCGAGTGGCTGGGTTGATCTCGTTGAGATTTTGAGGTTGGGCAGTGTGAGGTTCGGGGTGGGGTTTGTTGTCACAACAGTCGTCCTCAGCAACCACAACTTGTGACATTACTTTGCCCTCATCGCCCTCATTGTCCAACTGACCTGGAGTCAATGGGAAAACACATGAACGTAACGAAAGAAAAAGACATCCATTGATTTCACAATACACTGTAAAATTAGGTAATAAATTTGACCTCATATCTAAGTAGCTGACTTTTTGATTGTCCAAGTTTAGTAAATATCTGGAGCTACTGGTCAATTGATTCAAAGACAAGAAACAATAAATTAGTTTTCTCTAAGTATGAAATTCAATATCAATATTTGGGGCATGCAGACATATGACATGTTTCTTTGTGGCTTTCATTATTACATTTATCACACTCACCACCATGATCCATCAGGCTCCACCCTCACAACCTTTGACCTTTCAGCTTGCTCTCACCAGTCAAGCAAGCCCTCCACCCAGTCACAAGAGAGAAATGAAGAATGGCCGCTGTGAAAGGGAAAAACGAAAAACACATGACACAAGTTAACTAATAATCTGCTCATCTGACTCATCAGTGTGAGTAAGCGCAAGAGGGGTAAAAGGAAAAATAAACAGGTCCAACGTCATTCCTGAGGTGCCAAACAAATCATTCTGGCCCCTAAGTACAATCCTATGAGCACATCGTAAGTGTCACAAAAGATATCATCTAAAACACATTGCAAACACCAGTGCCACAACTTGTAGAACAAGAATTGGCAAACCTCTCTGTTTGTACCGCATATTTGATTTACCTGGAAGCTGGTCAACAAATCTCTGGAGATCGTTATAAGTAACATTTTAACATTCGTAACTGTGCAGAATCATGGATACAAGTCAACCTCTGTATAGTAAAACTAAAAATAGGGAAACAAAAATGTAATGTGCAATGTAATGTAGCATTTACAAAAAAGGGAAGAGGAAAAGAAAAAATGTAATCTTGTAGATCAGTCAATGACATGCATTGCACTTTTTAATAGGGGATCACAGAACACGACATGATGTTTTGCCAACATCGCAGTATACAGCACTGTATAGTGATTATGCATTCATCAATACTGGAATATTTGCCTTACTTACTTTGGTTCTGTATAGCAGTGGTTCACAACTTTTTTCACACCAGATTGGTTTCAAGTAATTACATATTTTGATAGACTGCCACAAAAAGGTCATTTCCTATTACCCCGTTGCAATTGAGCTTGTTTCTCTTTAACGATACGACAAAGCATATTTTGATGGCTTAATTTCCACATTTGCAAACCTGCTGTATGGACTTACTGTAATTCTCTGAGAGCACAGCATAGTCATTTTTGCAAATAAAAATCGAGAAATCAATGTCCACACCTTGGAGACTGGCCTTTGGATTGTCAACACGCTGTAGGGCTGACAATTGAACTCGTAAGTATAAATGAGTGTCGCTTATCGTTAGAAAAGGTACATAAATGGTCCAACGGGGCAAAGGGACGATTTGTGTATCTTTTTGTTTGCATGTAAGGGTACAAACGAGTGCTAGGCCTGTATAAAAGAATTGCAAAAGAGCGAACTGCTGTATGCAATGCACTTTTTACAAAAGTAACAGTAAGAGTAGTAATCTTGACCGGGAATGGGAAACCTACTGCTTGCTCTTTAAACCAACTGACGGTTCTTGTGAAGAAAAAAAAAAGTTTTTTTCCCATGGTGGGGGTTTACTGTTGCACATTTCCTTTTTTCTTTTTCTTTTTTTCTTTTTTTTTTAAAACAGTTAAAAAAGGTTGCAATTTGGAAGCATTAGGAAAATGCCCAGTGTGACAACAGTTGAGAAGCACTGGTTTATAGGATGGTAGCAAGACCAACCATGTTGAATGTCGGAGACCGCAGCAATGATCAAAAGACAGGACGAGACAGGTTAATGTTGGCAGAGTTGAAGATGATGAGATTCTTTGTTGGGGGTGAGTGACAAGGATGTACAGGATCAGGAATGAGCTCATCATAGGGGATAGTAGACTTGCAGGTTTTGAGACAAAACTACAGGCAGCAGATTGAGTGGGCTTGGACATGTGTAGAGGAGGTGCATTGGATATCAGTTGAAAGATGCCGGAAATGGAGCAGCCAGGTGGAAGGGAAGAGGAAGAACAAAGAGGAAACTTATGTATGGCGTGAGGGGGCAGAAGATGGAGAGGACACGGAGATAGATACAAGAGGATGATATCCTGTGCTGAAAGGACATAAGATGCAATAAACATGTTATTCATATATTGAGATTTAACCAATAACAACCTCCATGCCCAATCTCATTGGTGCATTACTTGCCATTGTTTCTTAAATCATCAGCATCCCAAAGTGTCTCTCCCCCACAGAGCTGCCTGTCCATCCAACCACCCATCCTCTCCTCTTCTCTACAGGGGGTCATAAATAATGAAAGACATGAGGAATGGAAAGAGCTCGTCAGCAAGCAGGACAGAAAGAAAAAAAACAAAAGCCACCCAAGAGAAATACCTAATACTACAGTCCAGTATATGGACAGACTATAACACAAACCACAAGGACAGCTCAGTTGGTACACAAACAGTATCTTCACTATCAAGTAACGTCATGGTGTACCTAATGAAATGTCCCTCGGATGTGAGTCGCCTGGACCTGTACGAGCTTTATAGTTCAGCGGCACACATTCCCTGTGACACGACAGGCCTTAATGTGGTGCAACCAAGCACATAGTTCGGTTCGGCGACAGTACCTGTGCTAGCTCACGGCCAAACATCCACATGATTGCTTTAACATTGGCTAGTTGCTGAATGTATTACTTTAAACAACGCTATGCCACGGTTCACTCCGGTTGTGGTCTACGGTTACGATAATTAGCATTATCGTAACGTTACCTGAGCCAAAATTCACATGGCGTGGATGTCTACCTAACTACAGTACGTTACTATCTTGGTCAAGAGGGGTTTATAAAGCATTTTTTCCAGCTATGGTTACAGTTGAGTCACAGTGGAGAGTAGAGCAGTACTGGTTGCTAACGTTAGCTCGGCGTCCACATCTGCACTACACAACACACTTGAACCTTTTAATTGTGTCATTGGACATTCGTTTGCTTTAAGTAACCTTACTTTTCGTTAGCTTCTGAAGGAGCACTGGTTTCGCATCGTCGATGGGCAGGTAATCCAACGGGGACGCCACCTCTCGCTGGCAAGGTTGAAGAAAAGGTGACAGCTTGGATCTGAAGTCAGTGACACCTTGCTGATGTTGTCGCAGTGACAGATATCAGCCACCGGGGGCGATGTTGCTAACATTTATTCTGAGTGCCTCGGTGTCGCCCGAATATAAAGTGGGGCAAATGGCAAACGTGGTAAGACCAGCAGTTAGTTAATTAAAATGCATTGTTTTTGTATCATCTCCTTAAATAACTAATTTAATTTCAATACAAATATTTGTAACATCACCAATTTTAATACAAATATTTCTTGTATGAACTTTCTCATAAATGATCAATATAATTCTTGAATTATGTTTATTAAAAAATAAAAGTTAACTTTTCTAACCTCACAACCAACTAAGTTGTAGATGAGGTTTAAAAAAAAGCTAAAATGTGTGTGTAAATGTGTAAAACTCTATGTCAGAACAGCAAAATTACACATTTTGTAATCATTTCTCGATTTGTCTGTTGGATTTGCTTTTGTAATTTTGTAAGATTATTTTACAGACACCGAACCAATCAATATCACGGGGGAAATGGCTACATGAATGCAAAAAATATATGACTCTTGATAATGTAAATGCTCGCAGGGTCAGATTAAATAACATTCAGGACCATACCATGTCCACCCCTGCTGTAGAACAACCAGAACTTTGACAGCCTTTCAAAGTTTAAACGGTTCAACATTTTTAATTCATCCAAATGTATTACTTTCATGTCAAACGCCGAATGAGTGGACATGGACCTATTTCCCAAAACAGAAAAAAGTGGTATACTGTATTGCAAAAATTTGTGTGACGAAAACAATTCTCATAGAAATATGTTTGCAAGGACAATGATCCTTCCAAACCAAATTACAGTCCTGTACACCGAATTGATGTACATTGTAAATATGACACACAAGCAAACACATTGTGCCATATTAGAAAAGTGAAGTGTTTACCTAAAAATATAAAGCATACAAAACATAATAGATTGAAAAATTTGCACTGGCTGCTACTCTTTAAGATTTTTTTAAAATGTGTAACGTACATAGCTCCTGAGAGGTTTCTAGAAGTAATTACAATGATCAAAATCGGTACAGTAGTTATGCATCAGTCCTCAAGTTGAACTGACATCATACATGTTTTAAGAGCCAACCTCAAGGTTTTCAACACTGAAAGTCAACACACAAGAACTGTATTTTGCCACATTATAAAATACAGTTGTGGTCCATTAATCCACTGTTTACCTTTGATGAGCAATTGTATGCACCTTCAAGGCCATTTGTATATCGTTTCAATTGACCGTGTCCCTGGTTTATATTACAATCGTTGTTTATATTTCACTGCTAATAAATTATACACAAGTTTCATCGATGAACATAATCATTTTGTCAGGTATATACACACTTCAGCCCGATCTCTCTTTCCCAGTGTTCTCCATGATCTCTTCATAAAGCCAGCTCTGAGCAAAATCCTGGCTCTTCTCAATCAATTGGAACAGCTGAAGATATTGCCTCGGAAAAACTTGACCTGTCATGATATCTTCAGGAAGTCCCATCTCGGCCAACAATTTACTCCCGCTGTCAGGTGACCAGAGACTTAGAAAAAGAAAAAAAAAAAAAAAAAGAAAAATTGTAGAAAGGGAATATTTGTCATTAAACTCTTCATTTGCCACCTTCTTTTATCATTTACAGCCAGAAAACACCCATTCAACAATACTGACAAAAACTACTTTTAAAATTTTGACATATTTGCATATCCGTGCTTTCATTTCCCTCACAAGATTAATCAAGATGATATTTAAAATTCGGTCACATTTGAATGGTGTAAGAGTGTGATTGCTTACTTAAGCTTTTTAATAAGTTTCTCCTTCCTCTTTGCCAAACATTGTTTGACCATCACCAAAAGGGTGGAGGCATTTGCGGGCGTGAGGCCGGCAGAGAACAGGTCGGCCCGTGGACGCAGACGAACCAGGCACATGTGATCGTTTGGAAGCTGAGAAGTGAAAGAAAGGTTAACTGTATGAAAAACACCTATGCCAGTCAGGTTAATATATTAATTGAGTAAGTCAGTACAACGCCTTTGGATGAATGTGCACTCTTTTTGGATCCCACAAACGACTCCCAGGGCTCCTGTAAACACAAATGAACAGACTTGAGAATTTGTTAATGTACAGAAACAAATTCCAGTCGGTCATTCTTTTGTGGAACTTATTTTGTAAGGCACCTTCTGTAAGCACATTTTAAACAAATAAAAACAAAAAAAAACTGTTGTCTAACCAAGTAACTATATTCTGTGTCAACATGTTTTTTTCCAGGATATGTTATGATGGGATGAATAATTAATTTTAATGTTAACAATATTACAGTATATAAATCCACTCTACGCAAAAATAACATACTCCAGCAAAATGAAAGCGAACCAATACAAAAGAGCTGAAGATGTATTCAACGATGCTCATTGTTGTTCGTGCAACTTGCTGAGGTGAAGAAATCCACTATATCATCACCAAATGAGAGATTGTCAAAAAAATATTCTTTTTGATGATGATCTCAAATTGGGACAGTCGTACTTTACATTGTGCTCAGTGATTGAACATGCAAACAGAAGTTCATCTTTTGACACATTGTATACCTTGTGAAGGAGTTCAATATGACAGGCCATTTGCCACAAGACACTGAGGGCTCTGTAGTGCCTCATCTGACCAGGAGCTGCCACCATGGTCTGACAGAGAAAGCATACACATACAGTTCAAGTCAATGGTTTGTATATTGCCAGCTGGTTACATGCAGTAGATACTAGGGATGCAAAGATACCAGTATCGGGCATCGGGTGTACTCATAAAAATTCGACATCATTTAGGCTGACATACCTTTGAGATATGCGCCATGTCATCCCTGTTTCTGTACAGATACTTATAGGACACGGACGGATAACCCCACTTTTAGGGGACACTACGACATAGATGACAAACTCCTTGGCTGACGATTTGCGGTGGCTGAACACCAGCTTTTGTGAATGAAAGTCCATCTATCCATCTATTTTCTGATCCACTTTATCCTCACAAGGGTCACGGGGGGTGCTGGAGCCTATCCCAGCTGTCTTCGGGCAGTAGGCAGGGGACACCCTGAACTCAATTTAGAGTGTTCAATAAGCCTGCCATGCATGTTTTTTGGAATGTGGGAGGAAACCGGAGTACCTGGAGGAAACCCACGCAGGCCTGGGGAGAACATGCAAACCCACGACCTCTGAACTGTGAGGTCGATGCGCTAACCACTGGACCACTGGGCCGCTGTGAGGTAAAAATGTTATTACTAGGGGTAATAACATTTTGATTGAATGTTTTCGTTAACACACACTATATTAATCATGACACAGTTGTAATGAGTTGTTTTGTTTTGTCATGTGGGATTTATTCTATTAGTGTTGTATGTTGTCGTATCAGTACTCTGTAACAAGTACACAAATGTAAATCTTGTGCTCAGTCTTGGGGGTATGAGTGGTATGGATGCATCCTTAGTAGATACTTATTCCAGTACTGAAGTATAGTGTAGTCCTCTTACCATGTACTCACGCTCACTCATAAAGAAGTTGAGCTCTATTCTTCCATATCTGTAAATGGACAGCCGTTCAAACAGAGCATAGGCTAATCTCAGCAGGGTGGGACGCTCATTACTCTGTTTCAGGATGGCCACAACTTTCACTGGGAACTCTAAAGAGATACAAATAAATATTAATACAAAATATAACATGAGGAATACAACAAAGGTTTCAGAATTGTGGAACTGTTTGTTTCACCATCCAACCAGTTGGTTTCTGTTATTCCCAAGTCAGTGAATAGTTTGTCAGTGAACATAAGGGGTGGCTTGTTGCTTCCCTCCCAGACAGGGTCCAATTTGAAGAAGTCACAATGAACCACTTGCAGCTGACCATCAAGAAGGCTTTCCAATGCCTAAATTAATGGAACATCACTCAATTCACTTGCTTGTGAAGACTGCCTTCCTCAGCAGTGCATCATCAAATGTTCTTAAGTGGAACCTCCAATGTTGAACACCAAAAGAGTGGTTCAGAGTTGAGTTAGGGAAGGGGGTGCGGGTAATTTAACGTTTCATTTTACAGTGGTTATCGTGACAGCTAAGAATAATAAAATGTTAGCTAGAATTTTGCTTTCACGGCTACTAAAGGTTTTAAAACAAGAAAAATTTGGAAGTCAACCGGCATCATGTAACACATTGTGTTCAACTTTGGAGGTTGCACTGTACATCCACAGTGCATTCGTTCTTCAAACAAGAAAGGTAAATCAAGGAGGCTGTTTGTGGATGTTTCTTACCTGCAACTCCTTCAAGAAAGGTTTCTCTGTCTCAAGAGCCACAACTCGTTGAGCTCCAGCATTGAGCAGGGTCTTAGTCAACACCCCAGGACCTATGTCCGACAAATAAACGCATGGATCTAATATTTCCATTCCACAAAAAAAATATATGTATATGTGCTAAAGATAAACTTGCAGAGGTATTCGAAGCATTATTAATTTTACTGACAAAGCACATACCTGGGTTACATTCCAAGACAACAGTCTTGGCGCTCTGTAGGTCAGGTCCCAGATGCTGTACAACCAGCTTAGCCAACTCTGGGTCCACGATGAAGTGTCTGGACTTTTTACAGGTGCGAGCTTGACGTACATTGTCCTCGACTTCGCCAAGATCCAGGAAATCATAAAAGCACAGAGGACGAAATTGACCCTGAGAAAGATGAAAAAAAGGCTGTTTAATTCACTTTTGCATGTGAACACAACACCGAGAATAAATAATCTAAATACAATCTAAGTGTTTTGAACAGGGCTGGGTCCCAACATTTTAAAGCCAGCAACTTTGTCTCCTTTTTTCAACCACCAGAATTTATAAAAACACTGAGCCACTAAATGGAACTAATTACCTTTACTATGACCATGACTACCACATTTAATAGTAATCTTTACCATTTGGCAGACATGGCATCTGTAAAGATGAAGACCACACAGTGGAGTTTAAAAAGAAAGTGCTCAGAGTAAAATCTGAAAAACATTTCAATACTGACCCTAAAGGGCCAGGCCAGACCTACATAAAGAACACTGAAGAAAAAAAATCTAAGTTTGGGAACAGATAACTGTCTACCTTCATTGCCACAGCAGACAGGTTCCTGTGTGTGAGTGCTGAAGAGGGAGATACTCTTTCTGCATGAGGCTGCTGGGAGTTTGCACCAAGCGTTGGCCGACCAGGCCCAGGGGACAGAGAATCAAGGCTGTAGGTTCTTCTGTGAAACATCGGGACCCAGGGCACTCTAGGAGCCACCAGCAGTGTCCTCCGTAAACAAGACTGACTTGTGATGTCCAGACAGCAAGAGGCGCGAGAGGCCAGCTCCAACAGCCTACAGATGTGAGTGGACATGTTGGACCTACAGACAGCCATCGGACGCTGAAAGGGAATTCAAAAGACCTGGATAGGTCTTTGCCTAAAGGGAGTTGAGAGAATAAAATACATAATTTATATGGATGGATGTGTTTCTCGCCTCTTAAATTGCAGTACATTTACTGCATTGGCCCTGCGAGCACGTGGAAAAGCAACCATTGACGTCACATCTTATCTACTAATTACTTATTCAGCTTTTTGCTTCTAAAATCTTAAACCACTTTTATAAAGCGGAATACAATAGTTAGCACACAAAAAAATTGGGCTCAGAGAGGAGGCTGACAACGTTAGCACATTTGCTAACTGTAAGCTTCTATCGCTAACCAACCAACAAATTGGCTGTCCACACAGAGTAAAACATACCTCAACGTAGAACTCCTCTAGTATGTTCAACTGTAGCGAAGGCCACGTTTCAAATTGGTTTCACTGTCACCCGTTTGCTCGTAAACTCCGTGACATTGAGCTCTATGCATTCTGACCCCACATTTGTTGTGAGCGAAATAGCTCGTGGTGTTGCAGTCGCATAATACGACGTCATTGATGCAGCCATATTGTTGCGGGCACTTCGACGGAAGACTGGGGGAAAATCCACATCATTTTAAAGACAACGCCGTTAACTTTTATACCGTTGCAAACTTCTACCACACATGACTCGTTGTGTCTAATTAGTACTGCGCCTCTATAGAAGTGTCAGTAATGTGATGTGATGGGGGGGGGGTGAACTATCAACAACAATTGTAAAATTATTTCAAATTGTGTATCTATTGCTTTTCCAGTTAGTTAGGCTACCTCCAATGCATTTTAGATTTTGTTGTGCACGCCTTTTTGCAAAGATATGCGCGTAAACGTCGCCGCCATGTTTAATGTGGCTCAGTGGGTTAGCGGCTGCGGTCATGTCGAAACGCTTAGCTTGTCTACATCCGCCGTCGCATGTTCATGATATAGGTCACATATGATACTCGGAATATTTAGAGATTCGTGAATTTTTTTCGTCGCCTTCTGTCTGGATTGGTGGAAAGTGGATTTGACGATTAAAAAGGAGGAGCTTTCCGGACTCAGCCTGCAGTTGCTCCACTCCGCCCGAGTGGTGGGCGGATCGAGCGTAATCGATAACGATACTGGAATCGATATTGATGATGACAGATAATTAGCTCAATTCTACTGCAATATTGGAGTTTCTTTTTTTTTTGTCTCCTATATGCTCTGCTACAGTTATTCTGTCTGCGTCTGTGTGTCACTGTTAAGGATGCCGCTACAACGGGGATAGCGGGGGCTAAAGCCTCGTCAGAAATCTCTGCAGGCTCTGTTAAGACCAATATTGGTATCGCTATCACGATACTCTTTACTGTACGTTTATTTGGTATCGGATCGACTGTAAATATTGCAGGATCGCACAGACGCACACCAGTTTCTCACTCTTCTTCCGGGTAGATAAGTGCAGTCAGGTGTCGCCTTCCTCCTCTGCGACTTACCGCTGTCATCATGGCGAATGTTCTCACATCATCCAGCAGACCTTACCATTTGGTGATCTTCGGAGCCTCCGGATTCACGGGACAGTTTGTGGTGGAGGAGGTGGCCCGGACGGCGTCCGAGGGTCCGCGAGGGAACCTCAATTGGGCCGTGGCTGGAAGGAGCAGGCAGAAGTTGGAACAAGTTTTGGAGCAGGCGGCCTCTGTCCTCGGTTTGTATCGGGGTTACTTTAGTGGCTTTCTGAACGTATTCCTGTTTTGTTTTATTGACATGTAGCTGCAGAGTATTGACTTTTTGCTGTACCAAATACAGCCTTGAATGACACACTAAATTGGCATTCTAAGACTTACCTGATTTCACGTTCATCCAAGTCTACTGATAACTGAAGTGGTAACTTGGACCCTAGCCGCTGAACTATTGAAATATTGACCACAAATTTAGCAACGCATATGCAAACAATTATTTTTGGAACATTCACTGCGCCGGGATTACTTGCATCATTTGGAACGTGCTGCAAAACGTGAACCAAGTATGTCAATAATTTTCCAGGTCTAAAGTGGTTTCCATGCAACATTCTAAACATGGAAAGTAAAGCCCATCACTAGATTAAAACCTGGGAACATTTCTGTGTTCATGGCAGTCACTGGAGGATTAGATGGGTATGGTTTGATCATCTCTTTGATCCCCTGCCCACCCACTTTTGTCTTTGTCTTTTGGGAGTGTACAACAGCTGATGGAACATACCAGCTCACTGTTCAAGCCCACTGTGGAACGAACACACACACACACACACACACACACACACACTTACCCTTTTGCATGCACAAATGTCATTGTTGGACAGTAACAAGGGTGAACATATCGGCACAGCAGTTTGTCCAACATCAGCTCCTTCAGCGCAGAATCTGGCAGTAGTGGATCCCATTTTCCCATATTTTTGGAGCGGTAATAAATTGTTGGTACATTCGAGAAAGAAGGCTACATGCACATTGAACATTGTTTCTGTTTTACATTAGACTATTGTCAAATCTGTGTCCCACTGAGCCAAAAAGACACATTCTCATTGAGATCACTTTTGTATTTTTTGGAGGAAATCAAGGTCTATTCTAGATGGTACGGAATTTCTTGAATTTCAATGAAAAGCAAACAGAAGTGATGGAGTTTCGCCCCAGTCACCCTTGTGCATTCCATCCTGCTGACTCAAGCCCCCTGGCGCCTTATCTAAAGTGAAAAGTCTCAAACTTGGGTTTTTAACTGGACAGTGATTTTAAATTGGAAAGGCAAATTGTTGATAAATCCATCTTCTGTCATCTTCGGCAGTTGGGTATGGTAAAGTCTTCATTTTTCAAGAACACTTTGAAACAGCTATCCATTCCTTCATCAGATCTCGACTGGATTACTGTCATTCACTTTATTTTGGAGTCAGATAATCTTCCCTCATGCATCTCCAGTTGGTCCAAAATGCTGCTGCTCACCACCTAACTGGTGCTCATAGAAGGAGCACTTAACTTCCAACTCTAGAAACAACACTTTTTTTATTCTTTGGCTTTTGACTCAGAATGAAACTTGGTTTTGTTTTACGTTTTTTTTAAACTGTTTTTCCATTATTGTTTTAATTGTCAATATTGAATGAATAATTTTTGTTCCTTGTACAACACTTTGGTGTTTTTTTTTTTAAAGTACTGTACTCTATAAATTCAGTACAGGTTTTTTTTTTAATGATGAAATATTTCACTGTGCGTAGTGAATTTGTTGATAAAGTATATAATCTACATGTGCACCTTTTGAATTGAACTGAAATCAATTCGTTTTTCCATGACATTCTGATTAACTGAGAAGCACCTGTGTCAAGAGAAATTTTGGTTTCCTCAAATGAATCTTCCCTTCTTTTAAAATGGTGGTGAATTGGAGAAAATCATGCCAGCATCCCTGTTACTCAGAGGTTTGCGAACAAGTGATGTACTGTTTTCTTTTTCTGTTGGATTCCACTGAAGCTCCTCTCGCATTGCAGGAAAGCCCGAGCTGAGGACCGAAGTGGACATCATTGTTGCAGATGTAGAGGAACCTGACTCTCTGGCAGCTATGTGCAAGCAGGCTGTCATTGTTCTCAACTGTGTGGGGCCTGTAAGTAGAACGCCTCTTTCTTTAAATGAAGAGAGAGCTTGCATAGTCTGGTGACACGTACATTTGGAGCCAACATTTACATAATTTTTCCCCTGTGACTGTTGCTCTCCCTTCCTCTGGCTGTCTCGCACACTGCAGTATTCATTTATACAATGAAGGCCACAGTCTGACAGCACACAAAAACGCGTTGTGTCCAGCAATGCTGCTTTGCATCTGGTAACTTATTCAGGTTCTTTTATTTTTTTCAAACAGAAGTCTGCCTCTATGATTACCCACAACTGTTTACCTGATCAGCGTAGCTATAACTACAGTGGGACTTAACATCTAATATACCACGTAAAAGTGTATTTGAGGTTCATTTTGAAATTTCACGTTTTTGAGTAGTGTAGGTCTACGTTCAATTTTATATTTGAATGAGGCATGGCTGTAATATTTTCCGCATTGATTTGTCTTTGTTCTAACAGTACAGGTTCTTTGGTGAGCCAGTGGTTAAAGCCTGTGTGGAGAATGGAGCTCATCACCTTGACATCTCTGGGGAACCTCAGGTAGGTGTTGAGCGTGAGATATTACCGAACAAAATGGATCACACTATGCACAGTTTTGTCTGCTGCATCAAGACTATGTTCTCAATAAGTTAATCATTTTCCGCAATTCTGCAAAGGAATGCAAGTTCTCTTCATAATATCTGAGCTTGTAAAGAAACTTGCTGTCCTACAATGTTACATTGAAGCAGCATTATTTTCATTTTATTCATGATTTTTGATTTTGCAATCAGAATTTTTGTCAGTTTGTTTTGCTAAACGCCTTTTCTAGATTCACAAAATGTATTTAAATGTGAAAAATGAGCATTAAAACAAGATGCAGTAACTACTAAGAGTTGTCATACTGTATTATTCACATCGACCGGTATACATTAAGTCAGTGTTGATTAACGTATGAGGGTCATGTAATTATATAAATACAAAATTCTTAATCTAAACCTTATCTTTTTGACATTCAAGCAAGAATATGGCAGCTGTTATTTGGTGAATGTTTTTTTTTTTTTTTTTTTAAATACACACAGGATATGGCCGACTTTATTCTCACGAAGTGCTCTATTCCACGTGTTTGTGTGCAGTTTCTGGAGGGCATGCAACTGAACTACCATAATCTGGCAGCTGAAAAGGGCGTGTACATCATCGGAAGCTGCGGATTTGACTCCATACCTGCTGACATGGGGGTCCTGTACACCAAGGAGCAGTTCAAGGGTACAGGGACATTCTTGAATGATTGGAACCAACTGGTGAACTCGTTAGCTGTTAATTATTTTTTTTTCTCCCAAATTACCAATATTTGTCACGTCGTCTTCAGGTACTCTCACTGCATTGGAGAGCTTCCTGACTGTCGATGCTGGCCCGGATGTAAGTGAAAACATTGCAGACATTGAGGAAGCTCCATGTGACTGTACTGCATGTGTTTCGTCCTCTCCCGACAGGGAGGATGCATCCACGATGGCACGTGGCAGTCAGCCATCTACGGCTTTGCAGACAGCCAAAATCTTCAGAGTCTTCGCCAGAGGTTTAACTACAAACCGTTGCCTTCTGTTGGCCCCAAGCTGAAACGCAGGTATTGTATCTTATACAGCTCAGCTTTTGAAGCTTTACAAACCTTATCGTAGTTTACCCACCATGTGACTGCTATAGCACTGATTTTTTTTTTTTTTTAAATACTGTGGAAATGTGATGTCATCACATGTAGGAAAGGAGAGTCATGTTTGCCATTTATTGAATGCTGGGAGAACAGCAAAGCACATGAACACAATGGGCGCACTCATGCTGGAGCTGCTGTTAATCACAGCTCACGCCCAGACACTCGCATGCAGACTCGCCATAGCTTGAGATGGCCAACCTCCCGTATCGCCGACATCACATGACACTCCATCAGGCCCCACATTTTAAAGGCACATGATGGACCCAAAGCAATAATTTTACATTCGAACAGGGCTTTGGCCAGGTGATTTATTTTTTGGTTTGTTTGTTTTTTCAGCAAAAGACTCAGGACAGGTTCCCCCGAAAAATCTTGAAATCGCAGTTGAACACCGTACTGAATTACTTACATGTGTTGTATGTTTATGCTTTGAGTTAGTTGGTAAAAAGTGTTTTAATAAATTCAAATGTGTCGGAGAGTTAAAACTGAACCGAATGGTGTCTTTTGTAGGGGTACGCTGTTCTACAGTAATGAGATCCAGCAGTACACAGTGCCCTTCATGGGTTCTGATCCGTCAGTTGTCAAGAGAACACAGCGGTTCCTGGTGGAGGAAAATCAAGACACTCCGGTTAGTGTTTTATTGGTCCAACAACACATTGCCAACATGAATTCACTACAAACTGTGCTTTTCTCTGCTCCAGGTGCAGTATGGAGCCTATGCAGGCATTGGTGGTATTGGTAACATCATCAAATTGATGTTTGCCGGCATGATGTTCTGGTTCTTGGTCAAGTTCACTTTTGGACGAAACTTGCTTGTCAAGGTAAAGTGACAAAGATGGAAATTTCATACGGAATGCTGTATACAGTATGTGTTTGTATTTGTATGCCTAATGTTTCTGTTGCTTCCCAGCACCCAGAGTTCTTCTCTTTTGGACTCTTCACCAAGGCTGGACCAACTCGGAAGCAGGTGAACATCTAGGCTGAAAGAACAGAGCTGAAGATTCCTGTAGAGCTAAACCGTACTTAAGACAGTGATTCTACCATTAGAGGGAGCCCATGTAACACACTTTGAGAATCATTACACTCAATAAGAGATCTACTGTGTCTGCATTTCAGATGGAATCGTCCTCATTTCGGTTTGCTTTCTATGGAGTCGGTTACACAGAGGGTCTGGATCCCACCCAGGGGAAACCCAATGGCAAGATTTGCACCCTGGTTCAAGGACCGGGTAAGCGATACCACTTGTTTGAAATCTACATGAAAGGCAGGTTTTTAAAAAAAATCATGAAGCTCCCAACCTTTTAGACACATTGATTAACATAGTTTCTCCCTTTTTAGAATGTGGCTATGTGGCCACACCCATTGCTTTAGTGCAGGCAGCTCTGACAATCCTCAACGAATCAAAAGCCTTGCCCAAGAGGTGAGTCATCAACCAGAAAAAATGCAGACTGACAAGTTTTGAACTCTATTCTCCCCCGATATAATTGTCCATAGGTGTTGACGGTATTGAACCAATATGAGCACAGTTATTTCACATTTATACCCTGGGAGTTTGGTATAAAAAGCCCTTTTTTCCCCATCTTACCAGTGGAGGAGTATATACACCAGGAGCTGCCTTTGCAAAAACCACCCTGATCAAGCGTCTCGACAAGCATGGCATCCAGTTCTCCGTCATCTAATAAGGTTCCTTATACGACGATGGGCTCCAGGTTTTACTTGAAGCGTTGCAGAATAACAGCTCGAATGTTTCCAATTCAGGAAAGCTCCGTCAACATTGACAAATTACGTTCCAACAACGCTCTTGTAACTTTTTTTTTTTTTTTTTTGCACTTATTTTTCTGCAGAATGCAACATTAACAACTCACCAATCGCAAAGATCGGCACTTAGCATGATTAAGTACTGGCATGATCTTTAGATACAATCCAGGATTTTCTTCTCATACAATCTATATTACTTTTATTTGAACATGACAGCTTTGTAAGCACTGGGAAAGCAGTTTGTGTGCTGTAGAGAAGAGCGGCCTCGCGTGTGTGTCTATATGCAAACTTTTGTTAAAGGCACTTACACTTGTTTTGGTAGATAATCACCATAGTTATCTTGTCCAAATATGTGCTCATAAGAATGAGTGTTAATTAGTGCACAAACTGAAATATTCCTATGAAACTTATGTTGCTTTTGTGGTCTGGAGTGATGTCAAAGAGCGTGTTGATCTTACTCCAGAGTTGTTGGTATCCACATGTGAGTGAAGTGTGCGGATAGCAGGTTTAGTGTGTGTGTGTGATGCATTTTGCTGTGTGCTAAATAAAGCCGGCTCCTCAAACAGATGTCTTGTGGCTTTCATAACGCTGATAACTCTTCTCGGAAGCATTCCACCAGTACGTTGTTATATTTTGACTCCAATTAATGCAATGTATTGGAAAACACACACAACACCTCCTGATTTATACAGCGCTTTCACAACAGCTGCAGCTGTAACAAATACATTTTACAAATGTAGTTTTTATTGAATGGTCACCTTGAATAAGACTAAAATGAATAAGACAGAAATGTAATAAATGATTTGAAATATACACATATTTTCAGTTATTTTTAGAGATATATATATATATATATATATATATTTTTTTTTTTTTATCCAAAGCTAATTTGGCATTTTTTGTGTTGACAGTGTTAGCAAAACTATGGGAACACTTGGTGATGGCACAAAAGTCTGAATTAGCGCAAACTCACGTTTGGTTTTTTTTTGCAGTTCAGTACTATGGTACATAAAAGGAAACAATTTTCATACTTTTTTCCCACTATGCCAAGTTATCCAAATGATACTGTATATGACAAAATATATTTAACTTTTGTGTTTGTATGCAATTCAGTCTGTACTGTTTTACGGAAAGCAGTTGAATGCTTCTACGTTTACCCGTCTTTTTCTACACAAATATCTGTTCTTCTGAAGTACCGGTAGACAGTTTGCCACTAATGCTTGTCCTGTTCAAATTTGTATTTAATTTGACAGAGTGGCTGTTTTCAAAGTTGTTTGTGCATCATAGCGGCAGCATAGAGCCACCTTCTGTTACAAGTGGGAAATCAAGAGAAAAACTTCATTGAAAATAAAATCCATATTTATTTATAAAAATACAGTTCTTTCCCGAATAGAAACTCTGAATTGCTTACAAAAAAAAAAAAAATCAAACTATTCCTCTTGGTGGTGATGAGCCTCAATTTTTTTGGACCACTTTTTTGTAGAATGGCAGCAGATTCAATAGGAAACCTGCCATCTGTTTATGAGTGTTCATTCTGTCTCTTGATTGAGCAGCTGATGAGAGTAAATAACATCCTCATAGTGGTATTTTTCAGCTATGCTCATGATGGCGTCGTGGCATCGTATTCTACTCAGAATTTGCAGCACTTCAACCACTGTAAGCCTGAAGACAGGGAACAAGTACGAATTACATAAATACATCCAGACTAATAAGCGTTGTTAAACTTCCAATAAGACTAATAAGCGTTGTTAAACTTCCAATACCTTGTGTCTGGAGCTTCAGGGGGTTGATGTTTACAAATATTATGAGCCTTCTGTACAAGGTGATTTTTGAAAGACTGGAGCTGAGGCAAACATTCATTCTTTCCTCTGAACCAACTGGTTGGCAGGCTGTCTGCGATCTTCACAGAGACAGGATAATACAAGCTTACACCAGAAAATGTAGAGAACAGGAGCTCTTCCAACTCCGCCATTTAGAAAGGAACCGTAGTTTTACATACACACACAGAGAGACACACACACACTTACCCTTTTGCATGCACGAATGTCATTGTTGGAAAATGTCTGGCTGCCAAGGGAGATCATCAAATATCGGCACAGCAGTTTGTCCAACATCAACTCCTGCAGTGCAGAATCGGGCAGCAGTGGATCCCATTTTCCCATGTTTCCTAAAAGCTAGTAGGAGCATTAAAAAGAAAAAAAAACATTAATTAACATGTCCATGAGAAATAATGGAAAAATATTCACTGGTGTCAGGCACCAGTGATAGGTAATAGTCACCTGACATACCTTAATGGCCATCCAGAACTGTTGGTTCCTAAATTGACTCTGAGGAGACAACCTGTCCTCTAGGAGTCTAATAAAGTAACAGTGAAAAGTTATTTTAATAACATGTTTCAATCAAAGCATGGGGAGATAAAAAGTAAAGGAAAGAAACTAACTTTTTGGGGTACAGTGGGATGAAGACGTCTTCATCTACACAGTTCTTTAGTCGGCCAATCACTGCCTTGGTAAGCGTCTGTGGACATGAATTCACAGAAACAGTGCGGTCCCAGAGGAATGAGCTACTACGAAATATACAACTCACAAAATGTTAAGGACATTTAACAAAGCTTTTAGGTGCAATTTCAGGATTAACAAACTTTTGAATGCACATGTCCAACTGTTAGAATGGATCAATTCACGACAGGTATTATAGATCCATGAATGGATGAACAACTCTCCTGAATCCACTGCAATTGCAATAAAAACAGTCCTTTTTATCATTCTGTTCATATTTTTACATCACAAGACCAACATGACACCAAACAATTGATCTAAAGTAATTTGCCACAGAGGGAAGAGGCCAATAAATGTAGACACACAGTCATCAGAACTTTAAAACAAAGAGACTGGAAGAGTCACAGAAAGAAACAGAATTGGACAGAATTGTTAGAAAACAGCATTGGAATTTTGCATATTTGGAACATTGGAATTTGGATATGTGCATTCAAAACAGTAAAAAAAAAAAAAAAAAAAGTTCAAATTAAGTTAATCTGTAAAGGCTATAGTTTAATTTAGGTTGATCCTGGAGTTTGACCCGAAAGCTGCATATTCCCAAATTTGTGTGTGGTGTGTCGGTTTCAAAACAAGCTTACCGTGACCGGCTTACTCTGTTCTCCTTCAAAGATTGAATAGTCCTCCCTCAGCCTGTGACACAGCTCGGTGAGACAAGCTGACTGACGGAGGGACATGGGGTCCCAAACCAGCTCGACAAAGGCTGAACGCAGAAGAGAGTGCAGTTTATAGGTCAGCGTTTGCTCCACATGCAACAATGGCCAAAATTGTACATGAGAACGTGTGTGTGTGTGTGTGTGTGTGTGTGTGTGTGTGTTACCTGTTATTTTGGGTATGACTGTCCTTTCGATGACATTAGAAAGCATCTCTCTATCAATATTTTCTAACTCTTCGTGACCATAGCCGTGACAAAAGGTCTCCACTGCAGTGAACCACGGGAGCTTTTCAAAGTCCACGTTGGCATCCTGACAAACAAACACACACACACTCCTGAATCACCCGAGATCAGCTGCACGTCATAATGTGTTTTGAGCGTATCAGCACCTTTAGAGGATTCCATCCAAGCAGCTGCTGCCTTATGATGGGGTTCAGCAACTTGGGCAAACAGAGAGATATGTACGCAGTGTGGTAAGAGTCAGAGTAGAAGCTTCTCCATTCCTCAAAGCGAGACAAAATCCTTTTAACGTCATGAAAGTCGTCATGAACGTCAGAAAAGATCTCCTGGGACTTCAGCAGGATGGCAGCTAGAGTGAGAGCAGATAGCGAAATGAAGGTGTGTCCACAATTCAAGTGGATACAAAGTAACCAGATTTTTTTTTTCTTACCCGTTTCCTTCTCCAGATGTTCTTCCTCCTCACTTGAAAGCGGGGCATCTTCAGGTATATCGCAGTCTTCCGCAGGTTTATGACATGTACCTTCAACTCTGCAATATGAGAAGTACATCACACAATGTAAAATTATGGTTTTTACTGTGCATGCATCCCAGCTTTAGCGTAAGCTTCACAGATGGTCAGGGCAGTGTGAAGACATCAATGGCGACCCAGTGGAATCAGTCATAGTAAACGTATTCAACATGAATCAGTGGGAACAACTCTTTTGTTTTTAATTACTTTTCATTGTACACGTGACTAAAGTGCCTCACCTGGTGATTAATGGCGAGGGGGCATTTATGAAATTGTCACTCTATTAGGTACACTTGCAGCGTCGTTTAACAATACAAGAGCTGTGTAAACAATTCAACACCTATGCTCAATTTCCGTGGATATGATCCAGGTTTATCGAATGCTGTGGGTCGTGTGCGTACTATTATGGCAAAAAGTCTGTAAACATTCTACTGTATAAGTCATGTGATTTGTAGATATAAATTAGAATTAAAGCCAACTCACCTCTCAGTGTCAGCTCCATTAGTGGAATTGTCACTGGCTGAGATGAAACAGAAGGTCACAAAAAGTGAATTTGTCAAGTGATTGTTTCATTGTGGGTCATGGATGGATTGATGACGCAGCCTACTCACAGCTGAGTTGCTGCAGGTGCTGGGCATGCTCCTGGATCTTCTGTTGTCTCTGGGCGCACAATGCCACCATCTGGCTCGAAAGTAGCGTGTGCAGCTCCAGCTCCAATGAGTTGATTTCAACAATCTGTACTCAAAGAGAGCCTTGAGTAAAAAAACAACAACTGAAATATGACCTATAAATACATGTTCTTAGCATCTATAAATCCAACAGCCATCATGTGACTTGGGTAAGCAAATCCAATGGTGTCTTACCTTCTCCTGCAGACACTCCACCAAATTGTGCGCAAAGAGGGTCATATCTCTGTAAAATTTCAGTTGTTTCTCTGATGAGCCTTCTTCCAGAGATTCCACAGAGGTTTTAGCACTCTCTGCATCTCCCTCCATCCGACACAGCTGAGCCCGCCGCGCACTGTGTACCTCCTTCAGGGAGTCTAGTCTGCAGACAAACATGATCACCTGGATCACTTAAACCCCTTGGCAAAGTGGGAAGAATACATGGGAGAGACATTCACCGCAAACATACTTTCCTGCTATCCTCCGCTTAACCATTGAGACAGTGACAGAGGGGAGCATCTTTGGGATCTTGAGCCCTGCTGATTTCTTCTTATGTCTCTGATGTTCATCGCGCTGGAAGCTACTGCTGCTGTAGCTGCTGGACTCACTGCCAGATGGGCTCTGAGTGCAAAACGAAGCAGGAAAAACTGTCACGGCAACTTCAATGTCCAATAGTATAGAGAATGGAACTGAAATTCCATTAAACTGTTCCATCTCCCCAAAAGCCCCCTGTGACTGTGTGTGAGCATCTGAGTGTGAGTTGTGGCCTACAGCAGCTCGAGTAGCTAAGCCTACTAAAGGGAGAAGTAATCTTACCTGTCCACCAGGCCGTCTCTTGACTCCCTTCTCAATTTGTGTCTCTTCCCAAAGCTCCTGCTCTTCTTCGTCACTCCCTGACAGGCAGCCAACACTTTCTCCTGACAAAACACATCACTTTAAGCACA